TGGCTCAGGACATTTTCCAGTGAATACCCACTAGCTCTTTTGTGGTTCTCTTGGTATCCTGTTTGTCACATTCTTATAGCTTCTGTAGGGGAGCATTATTTTACCTCTATCCCTTTAAGGTTTTTACTGGGCCTAAGAATTAAATTTACATAGGACAGATTAACAGGAAAAGCATACAGATTTATTTAGTATAAATTTTAAGTGACACTGGAGCCCTCATAAAGAAATGAAGACCAAAAGAATCAGTTAGAATAGAACACTTAAATATTGAGTTGGACAGAGAGCAGTAAACTGTGATAATGATACAAAGCAAAGGGGTAGTTAATCATGGAGAAGTGACTAGGAAGATAAGGATTCACATACAAGATTTGTTTTTACAGATTCCTTTGGCCTTAACTCCCCATCCCTGGAGATAAGAATGTTACTTTCCTCCTAATATAGGGAGGACATCTTCCATACAGGGTTTTATATCTTGCTTTCAGGAAGAAAAAGGGGAGGTCAGAGCATCCTTCTTGTACCTGCTGTTTTTCAAGTGCCTTTAGCTCAAGATAATCTTTATGCCAAAATGGCATAGTAGGGGTGGAACATTCTGCCACCCCCCCCTTCACTTCCCTCTTCCTCCCACATGAACAGCAAGGACATGCAGATCTTGTGGCTGTTGGTGGTTTGTCTATATCCATGTTTATTTTAGAGTTTGGAAAACTTTGTCACATAGTTTTTGTTTTTTTTGTAAAGGCTGTATATAGGTTTTAATTTTCTTACCTAGTTGCTTTGTCAGTTTTTATGTGGGAATTCGGGAAGATCCACAATGTCTCCTACTCCCATCTTCTCAGAGTCCCATCAGTTGGTTGATGCGTGTGTGCTTGTTCCTAATGTGGTCTGAAAAATCTGAAGATAAAGTGAATCTGCTTGATAAATTAGGTTCTGCTATGACTTTCTTTGATTAATGCAAATCTCTGTGCCTAATAAAGACTCTTTAGTTTTGGTGTTCATTTTCTTCATTAATGATTATTATAGAAAATTCAATCTCTAGAGTTGAAAAGAAAGTTTAGTCTATATAATGCTGAGTTGTGATTTTTTTTTTTTAACTGACCATAGTTATGAATTTCACAGCTTGAATGAGTGGTTATATATGGTCCTATATACTTAAATGTGAGCCTATGTTGTCTTTCTAGTAGTTATATATACTAATACATGGCCGTATGTTGCCCTTCGAGGAGTGGTTTTCTTTTTCCTTTCCTGTTTCACACATCTTTTCTAAATGTGATATGCTAGTTAGGTTATCCAAGGTAACCTGTTATAGAAACAAACTCCTCACCACTTCTTTCTTAATTAAGGACCACGATTGCCCTAAACATTATTACTACTCAGAGTAGAAGAAAACTTTAGCAGAAATTGGTGTTTATTCAAGTGCTTATTTTGTACAAGAGCTCTTATATTTCTCCCTGTTGAGGCTTTTAAAGGCCAAATAACATTTTATCATTAAACATTTTATCATTAAACATAAAATTTAGCATAATTACTTATGCTAGTGCTATGCACAGTACAGTTCTGTTTTGATTTTTCCTAACAAAGTATTAATAATTTCACTTTCAAAGATTTTATGGACTAGCCATTGACACTGATCTGAATGAATAAATAAGTAAATAATAAATAAGGAATGTGTCAGTGTATGTGTATATGTGTGTGTGTATTTAGGTTGTCTTTTTCTTCTATAATGAGTTTTGTTAGCTTGTGTCTTTTAAGGAATTGTCCCATTTTTTCTATGTTGATGAATTTATGGGCATAGAGTTATTTGTAGTGTTACAATATTTTAATGTATGTTAGATCTATAGTGATGTCTCCTTTCTCATAATTGGTATTGATAGTTTGTGTCTTCTCTTTTTTTTCTTGGTCAATCTGACTAGAGCTTTATCAATTTTTTTTTATCTTTTCAAAAAACCAACTTTTTAAAAAAAGTTTATATTTTAATTCCACCTAGCTAACATGTAGTGTTATATTAGTTTCAGGTGTACAATATAGGGATTAAGCATTTCCTTATATGACCCAGTACTTATCACGACAAGTGTACTCCTTAATCCCCATCACCTAATTAACCATCACCCCTCTCCCCCACCTTGCCTCTGGCAACCATCAGTTTGTTCTCTATGATTAAGAGTCTGTTTCTTTGTCTTTCTCTCTTTTTCTCCTCTTTGGTCATTTGTTTTGTTTCTTAGATTCTATATATGAGTGATATCATATGGTATTTGTCTTTCTCTGACTGACTTATTTCACTTAGCATTATGCTCCCTAGCTCCATCCATGTCATTGCAAATGGCAAGATTCCATTCTTTTTTTTATGACTGAATAATATTCTATTTTATATATATACCACATTTTCTTTATCCATATATCAATTGATGGACACTTGGGCTGCTTTCGTATCTTCACTATTGTAAATAAACAAAGGGTTACATGAATCCCTTTGAATTAGTGTTTTTATATCCTTTGGGTAAATACCTAGTAGTGTAATTGCTGGATTGTAGGGTAGTTCTATTTTTAACTTTTTGAGGAACCTCCATACTGTTTTCCAGAGTGGCTGCATCAGTTAGTATTCCATCAACAGTGCAAGAAGATTCCTTTTTCTCCACATCCTTGCCAACAACTATTGTTTCTTGTGTTGTTGATTTTAACTATTCTGACAAGTGATATCTCATTATGGTTTTTTTTTAAGATTTTTATTTTTATTTGAGAGAGAGAATATGAGAGAGAGAGAGTACATAAGAGGGGAGAGCGGGAGAGGGAGAAGTGGACTCCCCGCTGAGCAGGGAGCCCGATGCGGGACTCGATCCCAGGACTCCAGGATCATGACCTGAGCCGAAGGCAGTTGCTTAACCAACTGAGCCACTCAGGCGCCCTCATTATGGTTTTGATTTGCATTTTCTTTATGGTAAGTAATGATGAGCATCTTTTCATGTGTCTGTTGGCCATCTCTATGTCTTCTTTGGAAAAATGTCTCTTCATGTTTTCTGCCCATTTTTTAATCAGATTATTTGGTTTTTGGGTGTTGAATTTTATAAGTTCTTTATATATTTCGGATACTAACCCTTTATTGGATATGTCATTTGCAAGTATCTTCTCCCATTCTGCAAGTTGCCATTTAGTTTTGTTGATGTTCGTTTGATGTACAGAAATTTTTTATTTTGATGTAGTCCCAATTGTTTATTTTTGCTTGTTTTCCCTTTTCTCAGGAGACATATCTAGAAAAAAGTTGCTATGGCCAAAGAGGTTACTGCCTGTGTTCTAGGATTTTTATGGTTTCAGGTCTCACATTTAAGTCTTTATTTCACTTTAAATTTATTTTTTGAATGGTGTAAGAAAGTGGTCCAGTTCGTTTGTTTCTTTTCAAGATTTTTTTTCCTTTCAAGATTTTATTTAAATTCAAGTCAGTTAATATATAGTGCAGTATTAATATATAACCCTGAAACTGGGTTAGAATTTAGTGATTTATCACTTGCATATAACATACAAGTGCCCTCTTTAATGCCCATCATCCATTTACACACACACTGTTCCAGTGTGTCATTTAAAGCCATTGTTTCCTTGTTGGTTTTCTGTTTAGATGATCTGTCCATTGATGTAAGTGGGTTGTTAAAGTCCCCTATTATTGTATTATTATGGATTAGTTCCTTTATGTTTGTTATTAATTGTTTTATGTATTTGGATGCTCCTAGGTGGGTGCATAAATATTTACAATTGTTATGTCTTCTTGTTGGATTGTCTCCTTTATTATTATATACTGTCATTCATTGTCTCTTGCTATATATATTCTCTGTTTTAAAGTCCACTTTGTCTGATATAACTATTTCCACTTCAGCTTTCTTTTGACATCCATTTGCATGATAAATATTTCTTCATTCCCTCACTTTCAACCTGCATGTGTCTTTAGGTCTGAAGTGAGTCTCTTGTTGGCAGCATATAGATGGGTCTTATTTATTGTTTTTATCCATTCTGCACCTTGTGTCTTTTGGTTGGAGCGTTTGGTCCATTTACATTCAGAATAATTGCTGACAGATATGTATTTATTGACGTTTTATTACTTGTTTTGTGGATGTTTCTGGAGCTTTTCTCTGATCCTTTCTTGTCTTTCTCTTATGGTTTGCTGATTTTCTTTAGTGATACATTTGGATTTCTTTCTCTTTATTCTTTGCATATTTATTAGTGGTTTTTGATATAAGGTTACCACTAGATGTGTATATAACCTCTCTTTCATATAGAGGTCAATGTTAAGTTCTAGGTCATTTAAGATTGAACCCATTCTCTAAGAACCAACTTTTGGTTTTACTGATTTTCTCTATTTTTTCTGTTTTCAATTTTATTAGTTTCAGCTCTGATCTTAATTTCTTTTTTGTTTGCTTATATTTGTTTTAATTAGCTCTTCTTTTTGTGATTTCATACAGAAGCAGCATAGGTTGCTGAGGTAAATCCCTTTTCCTTCTTTTCTAATATGTGAATTTAATGCTGTACATTTGAACAAATATCATATTTAAATTTTAGCAAAACCACATGGTTTATCAGGAAACCCTCCTGAAAGAATGGGGTTCATGGGGGCACATAAAAAGAAAAATTTTGCTGCATCATGGGTTTATTTGGCAAAGTAGGAGAGAATAACCTTCTGGCCGGGGAAGGAATGTTAGAAGTTCATGTTTGTAAATGAAGTTATAGTGAAAGAAAAGGGATTAAAGATAACTTTAAAAATATTATTTGCCACTAAACAATTATATATTTTATTTAGAAAATGTTAGTGGTGGTAATTGAAGTGCAGTGCAGTTGCCACTGAAAAGAACATTGTGTGACTATACTGTACATACTCAAATGTATTTTTAAAGATATCATCAGGCTATTGTCTGTGTCTAATATATATCACCTGTACAGTTTATTTCGCTTATAGATAATATAGTTACCAGTACAAGGGAAGCCTGTATCCATTTTATTGATTGTTATGTTTTCTTTTCTTGCAGAAATGCTGAGCCGATTGTCAGGATTAGCAAATGTTGTTTTGCACGAATTATCAGGAGATGACACTGATCAGAATATGAGGGCTTCCCTAGACCCTGTGAGTAGCTCTATTCTGAATTAAACTGATGAGACATATATTCCATGTTCTTCTGAGGGAAAGAGTTTAAGATAGAAGGTTTTGAGCAGCCTCCATTTTGCTAGGTGGAAGAGAGGATTAAGAAAAATACTGATAATTTATAAATGATCCTTCTCCTGTAAGTTTGTAGTATATGAGCCACAGTGATGGGAATCAAGTCCTGGATGAGATTGGAAAGATCTTTTTCATTTGTCCCTTGAGCCTTGTTTAGTGCTAGATTGTTTTACCTTCTTCTCAGGTGTATATCCTGTTCACTAGGAAAGGATTGAATGATAAGTGGCAGAACTGGGGCACCTTTCAGGTTTGAAAATATGTTTGCTATTGTAAATTTATCTACACTTCTCTTACAGTTTATATTATATTTTTTGATAGCCACATGAGGAATCAAAAGAAGTCCTTTAATTTTCTGAAAGACAAGCAGTATTGCCTAGTGGTTAAGAGAATTTTATTCAACTGCTGTCTTAAATTTAAATTTTGGGCTCTTCCACTTAATAGTTTGTTATCTTTGCTTCCTTTTATTTTTCTCTTTGGTAAAATTAGGATATCATAAATGAGATAATGTTTTGTTTGTGAAATGCTTAACACTTCCAAAATACTCAATATATTTTAATGGCTATGATGATAAGAAATCTTTCCAACTCAGATCCAATAATAATTAAGAATGGAAATGAGATGGGCAAAAGATAAGATGAAGTTGGAATGAAGAAACTCTTTTTTGGCCACTAGTATTTTTCCCTTGATGCATTGGCAACTTTTTGTCTAAATACTAGGCATTACCCCAAGAATCTGACATGGAATTTAACGATAGGACACAAGAGGATGTTCTGGAGCGCCTGGCTTATGCTGAGCAGTTGGTGGTGGAGCTAAAAGAAATCATTAGAGAGAAGGACATTCAGTTGCAGCAAAAAGATGAAGTTCTACAGGTACCATGGTTTTTGTCCTTTCTTGCCAAGCATTTGATAAAAGACAGACACAACATTCACTTAGATTTTTCTTTTCACTTAGATTATTGGAGAGTGTGATTCTTATTTCCCTAATACTGTAAGATGATGCCTCCTGAGAATTAACTTTTGTTATGTATCAGGCACGTGATGAATAAACATTTATATATTTACTGTCATTGTTCTCTGACAGGAAGAAAGAAAAGCTGCTGATAACAAAATAAAAAAACTAAAACTTCATGCTAAGGCCAAATTAACTTCTTTGAATAAACACATAGAAGAAATGAAGGCACAAGGAGGGACTGTTCTGCCTACAGAACCTCAGGCAGAGGAGCAACTCTCCAAGGTATGGTAATGGGATACACTGCACATTTTCTGAGTGGAAATGCCTCCCATGATAGCAGATATTCACTAATCACAAAAATTTACGAAGTTAAAGTAGTGCAGCACTAAATGCTGTCCTTTCTTATTGAGTTTGCAGTCTAGCTGGGCTCTGGGTCACACACAGAGAATAAAAGGCCAACAGAAAATATAGAAATGAAATGTGACCTAGACTTTCAGAGAATTAAAAAAGGCTAACAGGACAAGTAAATACCACAGCGAGGCATTTGGATAGGAGAGGCACATACTTTATGGAGGGATTTTATCTTTGGTTAGAAGATTAAACTAGGTGATCTGTAAGGTTTCTGCCACCTCTGAATTCTTTAATTTAGTGACTTGACACAGAATATTCTGTGTCCTCATATAGCCACAGAGTAGTGGATTAAAGTTTCATGCATTGTAACTGAATCAACTAGATTGCCTTGGGGTTCCTGTAAGTGGTGCGTTCTAGGTTTATGACTGCCACAGCAAAATAATTTAAGGTCGGGGTTAGAGAGAAGAGTAAGGAAATTGGTGCCTTTTGAGAAATAGAGTATTGTCCCAATACTCATTTTCATTAATTTCCTGTATGGGGTTAAATCCCAAATATTCACATTCAGTCAGCCATTTAGTGAACAAGAATCTTCAGTTTTTTGGAGTTTGGTATAGAATATATGGAGGCTGGCAAATCACATGTGCATACTGCAATTGGCCTAGACTTAACTCTGCATAAGAAATTTATTAACTTTTATTTTTTAAATTATACCTTGTTTTACTCTTTGATTCACTAGTATTCTTTTTTTTTAATTTAAATTCAGTTAGCCAACATATAGTACATCATTAGTTTCAGATGTAGAGTTCAATTCATCAGTTGCATATAACACCCAGTGCTCATCACATCATGTGCCCTCCTTAATGCTCATTCACTAGTATTCTTATCTCAGTGTTTTTAGTTCTTGGGAAATAAGGTTGTAATTGATTCTGTAGGCACAACACTAGGGTCACTGGTTAGTTTCCTAGTACCCTGATTAGTCTTTCCATTCTGCATCTAATGCTCAGAAGAAATTACTTTCCCTGATTAATAGCTTTATTTAACTTCTCAAAGCTTATTTTAGAAAGCTTATTTTAGAAGCTTTCTCATTCTTCTCAAATAATTTGTTCATCTTGATTCTTTTCTTACTTCTTGGTTCTTCCTCTGGTAATTCTTTCTTCTTGTAGCTGTGGTACCAGCCTGTCTCTCCCCATGTTGCTTTGTTTCTTCTAACTGTCTCCCTACTGTGATTTTTAAGTTATGTATTTTATTTTATCTTTTATTAATTTAAATTCAATTAGCCAACTAATGATGATGTACTCATCATTAGTTTCAGATGTACAGTTCAATAATTCATCAGTTGCGTATAACACCCAGTGCTCATCACATCACGTGTCCTCTTTAATGCCCATCACCCAGTTACCGCATCCCCCCACCCAGCTCTCCTCCAGCAACCCTCAGTTTGTTTCCTATAGTTAAGAGTCTTTCATGGTTTGTCTCCCTCTCTGATGACTTCCCATTCAGTTTTCCCTCCCTTCCCCTTTGGTCCTCTGCCTTGTTTCTCAAATTCCACATATCGGTGAGATCATATGATCATTGTCTTTCTCTGATTGACTTATTTCGCTTAGCATAATACCCTCTGGTTCCATCCACATCGTTGCAAATGTCAAGATTTCATTTTTTTGATGGCTGAGTAATATTCCATATGCCACATGTTCTTTATCCATTCTACTTTCTATGGACATCTGGGCTCTTTCCATAGTTTGGCTATTGTGGACATTGCTGCTGTAAACTTTGGGGTGCAGGTGCTCCTTCAGAACACTACATTTGTATCTTTGGGGTAAATACCCAGTAGTGCAATTGCTGGGTTGTAGGGTAGCTCTATTTTCAACATTTTGAGGAACTCCATACTGTTTTCCAGAGTGGCTTCACCAGCTTGCATTCCCACCAACAATGTAGGAGGGTTCCCCCTTCTCTGCATCCTCAACATCTGTCATTTCCTGACTTGTTAATTTTAGATCTTGGATACTAGCCCTTTATCTGATATGTCATTTGCAAATACCTTCTCCCATTCCGTCGGTTGCCTTTTAGTTTTGGTGACTGTTTCCTTTGCTGTGCAGAAGTTTTTAACTAGATTAAGTTCCAATAGTTCTTTTTTGCTTTAGTTTTCCTTGCCTTTGGAGACGTGTTTAGCAAGAAGTTGCTGCAGCTGAGGTTGAAAAAGTTGCTGCCTGTGTTCTCTAGAATTTTGATGGACTCCTGTCTCACGTTTAGGTCTTTCATCCATTTTGAGTTTATCTTTGTGTATGGTGTAAGAAAATGGTCCAGTTTCGTTCTTCTACATGTGACTGTCCAATTTTCCCAACACCATTTATTCAAAGGACTGTCCTTTTTCCATTGGATATTCCTTCCTGCTTTGTCGAAGATTAGTTGACCATAGAGTTGAGGGTCCATTTCTGGGTCCTCCATTCTGTTCCATTGATCTATGTGTCTGTTTTTGTGCCAGTACTGTATTGTCTTAATGATTACAGCTTTGTAATTTAACTTGAAGTCCAGTATTGTGATACCACCAGGTTTGGTTTTCTTTTTCAACATTCCCCTGGCTATTTGGGGTCTTTTCTGGTTCCATACAAATTTTAGGATTATTTGTTCCAGCTCTGTGAAAAATGTCGATGGTATTTTGATAGGAATTGCGTTGAATGTGTAGATTGCTCTGGGTAGCATAGATATTTTAACAATATGTATTCTTCTAATCCATGAGCATGGAATGTTTTTCCATTTCTTTGTGTCTTCCTCAATTTCTATCATAAGTGTTCTGTAGTTTTTAGAGTACAGATGCTTTACCTCTTTGGTGAAGTTTATTCCTAGGTATCTTACAGTTTTGTGTGCAATTGTAAATGGGATTCATTCCTTAATTTCTGTTTCTTCCGTCTCAGTGTATAGAAATGCAACTGATTTCGGTGCATTGATTTTATATTCTCCCACTTTGTTGAATTCCTATATGAGTTCTAGCAATTTTGGTGTGTAGTCTTTTGGATTTTCCACATAGAGTATCATGTCATCTGCGAAGAGTGAGAGTTTGACTTCTTCTTTGCTGATTCGGATGCCTTTATTTCTTTCTGTTGTCTGATTGCTCAGGCTAGGACTTCTAGTACCATGTTGGACAGCAGTGGTGATAGTGAACATCCCTGCCATGTTCCTACCTTAGGAGAAAAGCTCTCAGTTTTTCTCCTTTGAGAATGATATTCACTGTGGGCTTTTCATAGATGGCTTTTATGTTACTGAGGCATGTACCCTCTGTCCCTACAATGGGAAGAGTTTTCATCAAGAAAGTATGCTGTACTTTGTCAAATGCTTTTTGTGCATCTGTTGAGAGGATCATATGGTTCTTGTTCTTTCTTTTATTTATGTAGTGTATCACATTGATTTGTGGATGTTGAACCACCCTTGCACCCTTGCAGCCCAGGACTAAATCCCACTTGGTCGTGGTGAATAATCTTCAATTGGATCGTATTGGCTAGTATTTTGGTGAGAATTTTTGCATCCATGTTCAAATGGGATATTGGTCTGAAATTCTCCTTTTTGGTGAGATCTTTGGTTTTGGGATCAAGGTAATGCTGGTCTCATAGAACAAGTTTGAAGTTTTCCTTCCATTTCTTTTTTTAAACAGTTTCAGAAGAATAGGTATTAGTTCTTTAAGTGTTTGGTGAATTCCTCTGGGAAGCCATCTGGCTGTGGACTCTTGTTTGTTGGGAAATTTTTGATTACTGCTTCAATTTCCTTGCTTGTTATGGGTCTGTTCAGGTTTTCTCTTTCTTTCTGGTTCAGTTTTGGTAGTTTATACATCTCTAGGAATGCATCCATTTCTTCCAGGTTGCCTAATTTGTTGGCATATAGTTGCACTTATAATTGTTTGTATTTCTCTGGTGTTGGTTGTGATTTCTCCTCTTCATTCATGATTTTATTTATTTGGGTGCTTTCTCTTTTCTTTTTAAGTCTGGCCAGGATCAGTCTTACTAACTCTTTCAAAGAACCAGCTCCTAGTTTTGTTGATCTGTTCTGTTCTTCTGGTTTGTATTTCATTGATTTCTTCTCTGATCTTTATTATTTCTCTTCTGCTAGGTTTAGGCTTTATTTGCTGTTCTTTCCCCAGCTCCTTTAGTTGTAAGGTTAGGTTGTGTATTTGAGACCTTCCTTGTTTCTTGAGAAAGGCTTGTATTGCTGTATACTTCTTCTTAAAACCCCCTTTGCTGCATCCCAAAGGTTTTGAATAGTTGTGTTTTCATTTTCATTTGTTTCCATGAATTTTTTTTTAATTCCTTTAATTTCCTGGTTGACCCATTCATTCTTTAGTAGGATGCTCTTTAGCCTCCATGTATTTGAGTTCTTTCCAAATTTCTTCTTGTGATTGAGTTCCAGTTTCAAAGCATTGTGGTCTGAAAATATGCAAGGAATGATCCCAATCTTCTGGTACTGGTTGAGATCTGATTTGTGGCGCAGTATGTGATCTGTTCTGGAGAATGTTCTATGTGCACTCAAGAAGAATGTGTATTCTGCTGCTTTAGGATGAAATGCTCTGAATATATCTGTGAAGTCCATCTGGTCCAGTGTGTCATTCAAAGCCCTGTTTCCTTGTTGGTCTTCTGCTTAGATTATCTGCCCATTGCAGTGAGTGGGGTGTTAAAGCCCCCTACTATTATTGTATTATTGTTGATGTGTTTCTTCAATTTTGTTATTAATTGGCTTATAATTGGCTACTCCCATGTTAGGGGCATAAATATTTACAATTGTTAGATCTTCTTGTTGGATACTCCCTTTAATTATGACGAGTTTCCTTCCTCATCTATACAGTCTTCAGTTTAAAATCTAATTTGTCTGATATAAGGATTGCCACCCCAGCTTTCTTTTGATGTCCATTAGCATGATAAATGGTTTTCCACCCCCTCACTTTAAATCTGGAGGTGTCTTTGGGTCTAAAATGAGTCTCTTATAGATAGCATATGGATGGGTCTTGCTTTTTTATCCAATCTGATACCTTCTTTCTTTTGACTGAACTATTTACATTTACATTCAGAGTACCTGTTGAAAGATACAAATTTAGTGCCATTGTATTACCTGTAAAAATCACTGTTTCTGTATATTGTCTCTGTTCCTTTCTGATCTGTGTTACTTTTGGGCTCTCTCTTCGCTTAAAAGATCCCTTGTAATATTTCTTAGAGGGCTGGTTTGGTGATCACAAATTCTTTTAGTTTCCATTTGCCCTGGAAGCTTTTTATCTCTCCTATTTTGAATGATGTCCTATCTGTATAAAGTATTCTTGGCTGTATAAGTATCTGTATAAAGTATTCTTCTGCTGCTATATCATTTAACACCCTGAATATATCATGCCAGTCCTTTCTGGCCTGCCAGGTCTCTGTGGATAGGTCTGCTGCCAGTCTAATGTTCCTACCCCTGTAGATTATGGACCCCTTGTCCCGAACTGCTTTCAGGATTTTCTCTTTGTCTCTGAGATTTGCAAGTTTCACTATTATATGTTGGGGTGTTGACCTATTTTTATTGATTTTGAGGGGGGTTTTCTGTGCCTCTTGGACTTGGATGCCTGTTTCTTTCCCCAGATTAGGGATGTTCTCCACTATAGTTTGCTCCAAATACCTTCTGCCCCTCTCTCTCTTTCTTCTTCCTCTAGAACCACAATAATTCTAATATTGTTTCACTTTATGGTGTTGCTGATCTCTTGAATTCTCCCCTCATGGTCCAGTAATTGTTTATCTCACTTTTGCTTGGTTTCTTTATTCTCTATAACTTTATCTTCTCTATCACTTATTCTCTCTTCTGCCTCATTTATCCTAGCAGTAAGAGCCTCCATTGTTGATTGTATCTCATCAATACCATTTTTTATTTCAACCTGATTAGATCTTATTTCTTTTGTTTTTCCAGAAAGGGATTCTCTAGTGTCTTCTATGCTTTTTTCAAGCCCAGCTGCTATCTTTATAATTGTTCTGAATTCTAGCTCTGACATCTTGCTAATATCCATATTTATAAAGCCTGTGGCAGTGATTACTTCCTCTTGTTCTTTTTTCTGGCAGTTTTTCCTTCTGGTCTTTTTGTCCAGAGAAGAATAGATGAACAAGAGAACAAAAAAGAAATAAAAAATAAAAATATCAATTATGACCCCAGCGAAATATACACTAGGCAAATCAGAAGAGATCAGAAACCAAAAAAGAAAAAAAAAGGGCGGGGGGGCAGAAAAAGAGAGACTATAATCAAACAGGTAGATAGTACAGGGTGATATACTTGGTCCTGGGTTTATTTTGGTCTGTTTGTTACAAGATACTTGATCCCAAAATTGTAAATAAAGAAAAACATATATATGCACTAAAATAAAATTGAATATAGTAAAAGGAAGTATAAAATGAAGAATATATCTGTAAAATGTAAATGTAAAAATGGAAATTAAAAAAAGATTTAAAGAGAGTTGATAAAATAAGTTAGTTGAAAAGGAAAAAAGAAAAAGAAAATTTTAAACTGAAAGACTAAAGAATTGTGAGGGAAAAAACCTTGAGTTCTATATACTGTTTTCCCCCAGTGCAGGAATTTTTCAGTTTCTGTGTGATCTTTAAACTTGGTTTTAGCCTGATGTTCCTGCTGGCCCTCTGGAAGAAGGGCCTTTTGCACTGATTCTCAGGTGTCTCTGCCTGGGCAGAGTTGCACCACCCCTTGCCATGGGACCGGGCTCAGTGTAAGCTGCTTTGGGTTGCTTTATGTGGCTTTTGTTCCCTTCAGGCTTTTCATGCTGCTTTAGAGCGTGAAAAAAAAATGGTGGCACCCCGAACTCCAGCCCTGGAGCTGAAGATCAGGGCCCCCACTCTTCAGTGCACCCCCATGGAAAAGCAGTCAATCCGTATTGTGTGTGCCAACCTGCAGACTCCTGTGGTGCACCCCTGCACAAATCCTCCCAGGGGAGGGGGGGCGGTCCCACCAGGCTATCTGCTTTCTGGGCCCCTGCTCAGGGAGCGGTTACCCCATCATGCGTGCACCCACGCTGCTCCTGCCTGGGGAAGAAGCAGGGTCTTGCAGCGGTTTTGCTGCTTGCTGTACTCCTGCTTGGAGAGTGGTCGACCCACAGTGCCGTAGTTATGTTTATGGCAACACCGAGTTGAGAGGCCACTCTGGGGCTTGCTAATTGTAGCTGGCTTCCCCGCTGCAAGGCTTGGGACCTCTGCTGCACACACACACACCCATTCTTTCTGTGACCCTGGGATCCTGAGAGCACACTGTCCTGTCTAGGATTCTGTCCCACTTTGCCACCCGAGCATCTTTCAGGCAGGGACGTCCCTCACAGGAGCAGACTTCTAAAAGTTCTGATTTTGCACTCTGCTGCTATATCACTTTCCAGTAGTTGGCTTCCTAAGGTTCCCTCCCCCTCAGTTTATCTTCCAATATATCCCGATTCACTTCTCCGCACCTCCTACCCTGCAAAAAAATAGATTTTCTATTTGTAGAATTGCAGCAATTCTTTTCTTAGATCTCAGGTTGAATTCACAGGTGTTCAGAATGATTTGATACCTAGCTGAAGTCAAGAGAGCAGATGAAACGAGGGTCCTCTACTCTTCCACCATCTTCCCTCCTCCTCTTAAATTACCTATTTTATACTCTGCTTTTTTTTTTTTTTAAGGCCTGACACCTTAAAGAAATCAACACTTAGAGCTTCATTTCCTCCCTCTGTTAAATAAGAGGGTCGAATCAAATGATTTCTATGTTTGAGCAATGAGTCATGGCAGCTTTATACTCTTGTATACCCATTACAGAGCTACATATTCTCTGAAAAGTATAGTTGAAGAGATGAGGGTAATTCTCAGATGCTTGACCAATATTATGTAGAAGAGAGTATAAAATTATTTTGTGTAGTTCTAGCAGACTTGGTTCATTTGAGGGTGGTGAATTCAGTAGGGAGGGAGAATCTGGTTCAGTCTGAGGAAAAGCTTTTGGGAAAAAAAATAGACTTGAAAGATTTGGATTTCCTCTTACTGGGTCTTGTATGATGTTTTGCTCCTCACTTAACAGCTCCTGTGCTTTCCTGAATTCTGTCCTTTAGTTCTTCAAGGCAATGGGACTAAGTTTTCTATTAAGTTTTAGTCCTGTGTGGTGCTGACTGGTTTTGTCCTCAGACTAAAAACCATAAAAAAGGGAAACTTCGTGTCATTTCTTCCAAATATTGACTCCCTTCCAGGATCTTCCTGCTTTTGGCTGCCATCTAGCATTTTCAAGTAGCTATTTTTCTGTCATGTCCGGAGTTGATAGCTGTTATCTGAGGGAGGATGAATCTAATAGGAGCTACTTGTCCATACTAAAATGGGAAAATGCTTAAGATTCCTTCCTGGTTGTTAGGTCAGGTGTTATTTCTTGCTCCCATTTATAAAACTATAATCAAATGGTTATATGGGGCAAGTTAGAACAAAAGATCGAATATGTGTTAATTATAGTTCTTTTAAGTAAATGACTTTATCTCCTTCATTTTCAGCATGATAAGAGTTCTACAAAGGAAGAGACAGAAGTAGAAAAGATAAAACATAAACTCCAGGAGAAGGAGGAACTAATTAGCTGTTTGCAAGCCCAACTTTCCCAGGCACAGGCAGAGCAAACTACACAGGTAGGGGTGTTAAGTCACCTCATAGTCATTAGGTTGATGAATCACTAAGGCCCAATGGATTATTATATGACAAATACATTTTTTAGATGGCCAACAGATATTTATCTCTGTATGTATCAGTTTACTTTCTTTTTCCCTTTCCTTCTCTCACCAACTTCCTTTCCTTCCTGCCTAAGTCTAGTAATTGGTGTTTGCCATTCTTGGTTGATATTTGTGGATACCCAGTTATACTCTTTTAATATATGGTTTCACATATTTTTATTTCAAAAAAGTTTTTCTTAAATTATATAGCTTGTGGTATTTGGTCTGTTTTCTTTTCTAGGGACTTCTATTATCTGTATGTTCGTTCTTTGATTATCTTTAATATTTGTCACTCTCAATTCCTTTTTATTTCTTTCTTCATTTTACAGTTTCTTCTTTTTTTTTGTCCTTCACTTAAGGCATTCTGTGTTGTGTTTGTTTACTTTTGTGTTACCTCTTGTTTAGACTTCTTTTTATGAAATTTTTTCTTCTATATCAAATTTTCCCTAATATCAGTCACCTTATTTCTGATTTTTCTGATTCTGATTATGCTGTTTTTCTGTGTCTTGCATAATTTTCTTAATTTCTTAACACCTTTTGAGATAGATTGCAGTTTTGATTTGTTTTTTTGAACATACCTCTGGTCTGTTATCACCTTTAAGCATGTTGTTCTCCTTAACTTTGTATGAAATTTGATCGCGATCCTTTTATATTCCTTATTTTTGTAGGCAGTTAATTTTTCTAAACTTTTGGAAGGAGGCTTGGTTCAGGAAAACTTTTCTTTACTTAACAGACCTCTCTCTTTTGTTGTTTTTTTGTATTGTGTCCAAAGATTTGGCAGCTGGATTTCTGAGATTTCCTGGTTTTCTTCCTCCTGCCCTTCACTTTGGCCTATACCAACATTGTCCAATAGTAATATAATGTAAGCCACATGTATAATTCAAAGTTTTGTAGCAGAAACAGGTAAAATTAATTTTAACAAGTATTTCATGTAGTCCAATATATTCAAAATATACTTGTGAGATTAATAGAATAATTATTTTTATGTTATTTTACTTTTTCTTTTTTTTTGCACTGTCTGAAATTTGGTGTGTATTTTTACATTATATCTCAATTTGGATTATTAAATTCTCATTGGAAATTCTTCTCTGTTTAGATTCCATAAAATTTCCAGTTGAGAAAATAGACTCATATACTCATGTTGTTCCAGACATATTTAAAAGCTTTCCAATAACTGAACCCAGGGCTGAAACATCATTTTTCTAATGATCTATTTAAGTATCAACTGTGACTCATGCTATCTGCATAAAGTATTCAGATAAATACATTACAATGTTATATGAGTGTGTAGGAAAAAATCATTCAAACTGAATGAATCCACTGACATTGACTAGGTAAGGCAGTGTGTTTATTGTAATACTAGGAACAGCATGCATTCTTGTTACTTGTATAATAATTTAAGAGTATTTGACATTATACAATAAAGTGAAATGTAGTATTTAATGGGAAAATAATTTATAGTTCAATTAATTAAAATTAAGTAATATTAATAATTAAACTCTTCATTTGCATTAGGCATATTTCAAGCCCTCTGGAGCCACATGTGGCTAGTTGATAATGAATTATACAGCATGTGTATAGACCTTTTTCTTCTGTTTCTGTTACCTCTATTCTGCATAATTTTTATTTCACTCCTAGAAGTTTCTTCTTATTTCTGGTCCATGTCTTAGAAGACAGCTCTGATGAGGCAGTTTTGAGAATTCAGAGGAACTAAGTTGTTGTAGCTTTTTAGTCCTTCTTACTGTGGACCCCTTGCATTTACCCAGTATTGGAGAATGGGGAAGCCCTGCCAATTTAAGCTGCTGTTCTAAGATTGGCCAGCCGTGCTTTCCAGTAAGAACTTGTTGGCTATTTGGGGGTTTTCCTGTTCTCAAGGCCATTAATGTTGCTCTGTTGCTGCCTGCTTCCTCTTGCATAGACTCTAATACCATGCAGGTCTTGTGCCTTTTGGTGGTTTGCTCTGCCTGCTTATATTTGGGGTTTTGGGGACTACCTTCCTAATTTTATTATAAATATTGTCCGTGGGTTTTTGGTTTTAGTATTTAGTTGTATTGTCTGTTTCTATGTGAGGATTCAGAAAAGTTGAAAAATGCTACTATTGCTTCTGTCTTCCTCTGACAAATAATTCTGATAATTACTTTTTTTAAAAACCCTAGCACATGCAGTTCCCTTTTGTGTTAAGTGCAAATTAGAAGGATATTGGTAGGTATTTTGGGCAGTTGAGAAAGGGAGGTCAAAGAATTAGGAGTGCTAATTCTTTTGTTTAAATAAATATTTTTTCCTTTCTGTGTCTTCAGTTTGATAAGAGTTCAACAGAGATAGAAGAATTTTTAACAATGAAGCAACAGCTCCAAGAGAAGGAGGAACTCATTAGCACTCTGAAAGCCCAGCTCAGCCAGACACAGGCAGAGCAAGCTGCTCAGGTAGGTTGGAAGGTACCTCATAAGCATTAGAATAAAGAATCATGAAAGTCTAATGGTAACAAGCCAATTCAGACAGTCACCTTCTAAAACCTTAGTATATAAAAGTATAGTAGCTAGAATGTTATAGTAGGAATTAGAAGAGTGTAGTAGTAGTAGAAATTAGAAGTGTTATTTACCTTGATGAATTTGCCATAGCCTATTTTTTACAGCTGTTTCTTAGTTCTACAAGCCTGAAATTTGGTTTTAATAGCACACAGACATTCAGTCTCTTAGGAATGGACTCACGTTGTTTGAAAGAGACTGGTAGATAAACCAAAAAAATACAAATGATTAGGTCCATTCTTTCCCTATAGTAAAACCTTAATAGGAAGTTAAATTATAATCAGAAGATTACTTAGTGAACATATAATGAGAAAGTGGTATAGGTTACATGATTCGATGTTAAATGGCACTAGTTTGTAATATTCCTCATATTTGTTTCTGATACCAGGATCAGACTGTTTGGACTGGCATTCTCAACTCCTTCTGTCTGACTGTTTTTCTAAATTTCCAGTTTGACCACCCACCTCTGTATTTTTTCTTTGAGAATGCTTTTGACTTGTGAAACTTTTTTCCCCTGAAGCATCTTTGCATGATAGCTATTCTTTTCCACCGAGTGTTTCATTTTTTGATAACTTATGGTATTAATGATGTTTTCTGTCCATGGATGGCCTGCTGCTGTGTATACAGTTAAAATTGTATATCTTGAAATCCTTATTTTTACCTATTAGCTTTTATTATGTTCTTTTTATGTATAAGCACTATATACAACGTATGATGGAGAAATGCAAAATGTGATTTTTACCGCGTGGCTTAAAACATGGAAAGCGAATAATATAAATATATTAACAGATCCATCATAATGCAAGCCATTCAGAATAAGTGAATAGTAAGCATCAGCACAAATGGAAAGAATTTTGAGAGGTGAAGGAGGTTACCATGAGTGTGACATCCAAGGAAGTTATATAGAAAAATTAGGATTTAGGCAAAACTGTGATGGATAGATAATAATCTCAACAAGAGAGTTGAAAGTATTCCATTTGTGGGAAATGGTCTGAGCAAGATCACAGAGAGAAAAAAGAATACAGTACATTTATAGGAAAGGATCTGTAGATGCATTTGGCTAATGAAGGACGCCAGTACCTGTACACTTGCAACACAGGATTCCAAATTAGTAATGTCAATTCAGATAATCAAAAAAATTATGAAGATTTTTTTCCTATGTAGAAGGAGAGCCGAGGTCAATTCAGGGTGTCACAAATTGAGAAATTAGCAATAGTTGAAGGACCAATACAAAATGGGCAAGCTAAGACCAGGTCAGCATGCTCAACTACAGATCTTAAGGAAACAAAGCAGCAGGCATTCATCTGCAGACACATACATCCTCAAAACAAAACTAAAACACTGATACTAAACAGCTCACAGTCAATTTATTTCCATTTTATTCTGTTAAGAGCCAGTTACAAGTGAGGGTGATCTAGAAACCTGCAAGTAATGATGGCCGAAAATAGCTGGGGAGGTGGTGTGGGTTTGGAAATATACCAAGTTCTTTGGTAGAAGCAGTTCTTTGAAGATAAGACTAGCCAGTATCCCTGATGAATATGGATGCAGAAATTCTCAGTAAAATACTAGCAAAACGAATCCAACAGTACATTAAAAAAAAATCATTCACCATGATCAAGTGGGATTTATTCCAGTTGTAGAGAATTTTGAATAAAAGATCTGTTAGTTTGAAGTTTGACTTATAGGGTATGATAATTTCACTGCAAGTTTTAAGACCATGAGTGTGCCATTAATGTGCCTAAGACTTAAGAGAAATCTAATTTCACTTTGTAGTTTTAATATTCTAATCTCTGTAGAACTTTTGAAAGATATACCTCCCATCCAAGTATATACCTCTTGTATATTTAAACATTTCTAATAACCATGCAAATATAATTTTTCATCAAAATTTATATTTGGGCTGATTTCTGAGTTTGATAATAGGATTTCTCTTATATTTGGAAGTTACTGTCAGGCCTCTCTTCCAACAATCTCATCCTTGGCATTAAAAATTTAATTAAAATCTATTGTCTATCAGTTCTCAGTGTCCGTCTTTGGAGAACAGTGTGTGAGTTTTGTTTGTGCAATATTCGGGGAGTGTAACGTGTATAGTTTCTTTGGTGTGTGTCTTTAGTTGAGTTCCATGCAGCAGGTGGTCCGAGAGAAAGATGCCCGCTTTGAAACACAAGTTCGTCTTCATGAAGATGAGCTTCTTCAGTTAGTAACCCAGGCAGATGTGGAAACAGAGATGCAACAGGTGTGTTGCTAAAACATAGTAGAATGACTGTCATTTGGTTAACATTTAATTAAATGATCACAGCTACTTTTTTACCTTTACGTACTGCTTTCCACTTGGTTTTAGTGTGCTCCTTATTTGGCTTATTTTTGATGATCTTGTCTTCTGTTGCATATTAGTTATTTATTTTTTCTTGTCCTTACCTTGCCTTTTATGTGTCTAACCAGGTTGTTGGTACTGAAAAGCTGAATTTAATTGGCAAATGTATGTGGTAGTCAGAAATTGGTTTCTCTTCAGTTTGCCAATTGTAGCTTCATTAAAGACCTGAGCCAAAGCTTCAAATCAATGAAGCCAGTTTTAAACTTTGAAAAAATTAAAGATGAAAAGGAGTGATTTTGAAACCATAAAGTCTCTTACTAAATTGATTATTCTTAAAAAAAATAATTGAGTATATTTTGGAAATTGGCTTCATTGTTTTTATCATCTACTAACTCAAAGGTATTTGTTTTTATTTAGTGTGTACTTCAGTGTGGTAACCAAAAGTGCTCCAGTGGTATTTCATGGTTGATCCATTTAATTGTTTTTGAGTGAAAACTTCTTCCAAGTCCTAAGTAATCCTTCAGAATATACTTTTTGAAGTAGAATATTAATGTATACACGTATTATTGATTTATTTATCCAACAAATGTTTATCGAGTGCATGTCCTGTGCATGAAGCTAGAAGAGAAATGGTTCTTGCCTGCAGAGAATGTTCTCTTTGGTGAGTGAGATATACACGTACTTATGTTACTTAGGTGTAGGACATCGACTCTATAATTTTAAAAGTGGATGTATCATTTTCTTGATTATTGGAAAGACTCCCTAATTCAGGGGCTTGCTTGTGTCTCAGTTTAGCTGTTGTCAGTGTACTGGAGAAGGCATTTTTGGAGATTATTTTTTGCTGCTGGTTGGGGAACATGGCATGCTGGTGTCCTACTCTTTAACCTGCCATCCTCAACATTCAGAAACCTTAAGTACACAAATCTAGATGATCTTTTGAAAGATAAACAGATAATGGTGCTCATTGGTTTAGCACATTATATCTAAAACATTTCCTTCTCAGAAATTGAGGGTGCTGCAGAGAAAGCTTGAAGAGCATGAAGAAGCCTTATTGGGCCGTGCTCAGGTCGTGGGCTTGCTGCAACAGGAGCTGACAACCGCTGAACAGAAAAACCAGGTACTGCCTTGTGAGCTTTACTGCCTGCCTTGGGAGTGGAGTATTCATTTCCACTTATTTTATTATTTATTTATTTATTTATTTATTTATTTATTTATTTATTTTGGGGGGGTATGTGGGAAGGGGCAGAGGGGGAGAGAGAGAGAATCTTAAGCAGGCTCCACATCCAGGGCAGAGTTTGACACGGGGCTCCATCTCACACCCCTGAGATCATGATCTGAGCCGAAACCTAAGAGTCTGACTGAGCCACCCAGGTGTCCCCATTTCCACTTTAGTTTCCAGGCAGCATGTATAAAATCATTAGGTCTTCTGAGAATTGATGCCATTTATTCATTCTTTCAACAAATACCCTGTGCTTAAGTGGTGGTGCTAACAATGATGAGCAAAACAGATAACGTTCCTTCTCTGATGAAGCTTGCATTTCACATATTTTATTGTGGCTGTTTTTCTTTGTGCTTTTAGGTCTAGGACCCTGGTTTCTCTAGACTGTCATACTGTCCTCTAGTGAGTTTCCTTTGCTATCTCAAATGGTTCTTGTGCTTTAGGTACTATCCATTGTTTTGGTTGATTCTCTGTTGGCTTGAAGTAATTCAGCCTGCAATATTCCCTGAATCTAAAGTGATCAGACACTGATGTTCCAAAATGTTAAGGTCAAATGTCTCCTCCCAGGCTGTAACCCATCCTGTAATTCCCTTTCTCAGACTGTCCTGACCTTCATTCTCATTGAGATCCCTCAATCCTTTTCACTTTGTTCCTCTGGTATGTTAGTTCCTTCTTGGGCTCTCTCCTTTCCCAGTGTGCTATTGCCCCCTGTTTGACCATTTGGACTATTCTTTTATCAGCCCTTGGATTCCCCGTGTCCTTAACTTACCACATCCAAGGAGCCAAGTACTAATGTGGAATCAGTGCTACAGTCCACATTCTCTGCTTGTTCAGCTGGGTGCTGCATGCTGCTGGAGGAAGTCCGTCATCTCCTTCTAAATTTTCAACTTTCCTTGAGGAGGACTTTCTCGCATAGAAGCATTTTCCCGTATCTCCCATCCTAATAAAACCTATATCCTGATCCCAAGGCACCTCTCTCACTGTCATCACATAGTTGGGTTCAAATCTCACTTGTGCCTCTTACTAGATAGTTACTATATAAGTAGTTACAGCTATGTGACTTTTGGTGAATTTCCCTTCTTCTCTGCTCCTGTTAATACCTTATAAGTATCTCTCTCATGGCCTCTACCATTTTTGTATTATAATTATCTGGTTAAATGTGACTGTCCCACTGAACTCTGAGTTCCATGAGGGCAGGGACTGCATTCATTCATTAATTCAGTATTTAGTGAGCACCAGGTACTCAATATGACATGTACTGTGCTAGGTGCTGGAGAACAATGATGATAAAACAGACAAAGTCCCTTCCCTTATTGAACTTATTTTGTAATGAGAGAGACAGAAAGTAAGAGATAATGGCACAAATAAATGTGTATGAGTATAAATTGCTAGAAGTATCAAGAAGCAAAGACAGGGTCTTATGAAATTGTAGGTTAGTTCCTGAGTGTCTAGCCCCATGCTTCACCTAGAAGAGGCACTTCACTATGCGTATTGAAATGAAAGAATGAATTTATGGCTTATGAGGCTTTGCCTTTTTTCTTAGATGCTCTCTCAGCAGTTACAGCAGATGGAAGCTGAGCACAGTACTTTAAGGAACACTGTGGAAACAGAAAGACAAGAGTCCAAGATTCTGATGGAAAAGATGCAACTTGAGGTGGCAGAGAGAAAATTATCCTTCCATAACCTGCAGGAAGAAATGCATCATCTTCTGGAACAGCTTGAGCAAGCAGGTCAAGCTCAGGCTGAACTACAGTCCCGGTACAGTGCTTTGGAACAGAAGCACAAAGCAGAAATGGAAGAGAAGATCTCTCACATTTTGAGTCTTCAAAAGACTGAGCAAGAACTACACTCTGCCTGTGATGCTTTAAAGGAGGAAAATTCAAAGCTTGTCCAAGATAAGAGTGAACAGGCAGTTCATTCAGCCCAGGCCGTTCAACAACTGAAAGGTCAGTATTTGATTGCCTTTCAAGTCCTCTTGTCTAGCACCTGAGTAGCTCCTATTTCCAAATTTCTGGGATCTGTTAATGACATGATTTGCTCAAATCAGTTGAATCAGTAGAAGAATTAAGAATTCATCTCTCCTGAATTTGTTGTCATCTCTCCTGTCGCTGGCTGAAGTTATAATCTGGCTTAATATTATAATTATCATTACGGTAATAAAAACTATTGATAGTGATGTGTCATATATTAAAAAGAATGCTATGTGAAACATGACTTCCGTCTGAAGGGTTCAGTGACTGAAATGAGTAGGATTTGAATTAATTTTTGGAAAACTCAGGCTAATTTGCAGTGATGTGGATGGAACTAGAGGGTATTATGCTAAGCGAAATAAGTCAGAGAAAGACAAGTATCATATGATCTCACTGATATGAGGAATTCTCTTTAATTTTTTATTGTTATGTTAATCACCATACATTACATCATTAGTTTTTGATGTAGTGTTCCATGATTCATTGTTTGTGCATAATACCCAGTGCTCCACGCAAAACGTGCCCTCTTTAATACCCATCACCAGGCTAACCCATCCCCCCACTCCCTCCCCTCTAGAAACGTCAGTTTGTTTTTCAGAGTCCATCATCTCTCATGGTTTGTCTCCCCCTCCGACTTACTCCCCTTCATTCTTCCCCTCCTGCTATCTTCTTCTTCTTCTATTTTTTTTTTCTTAACATATATTGCATTATTTGTTTCAGAAGTACAGATCCTATGAGGAATTCTTAATCTCAGGAAACAAACAGCATTGCTGAAATGGTGGGGGGTGGGAGGGATGGGGTAGCTGGGTGATAGACATTGGGGAGGGTATGTGCTATGGTGAGCGCTGTGAATTGTGTAAGACTGTTGAATCACAGACCTGTACCTCTGAAACAAATAATACATTAGATGTTAAAAAAAAAGAAAGAAAAAAAGATAGTAGGAAGGGAAAAATGAAGGGGGGGAATCGGAGGGGGAGACGAATCATGAGAGACTATGGACTCTAAGGAACAAACAGGGTTTTAGAGGGGAGGGGGTGTGGGAATGGGTTAGCCTGGTGATGGGTATTAAAGAGGGCACATACTGCATGAAGCACTGGGTGTTATACGCAAACAATGAATCATGGAACACTACATCAAAAACTAATGATGTATGGTAATTAACATAATAAAATAAAATTAATTAAAAAAATATAAAAATGGAAAACTCAGGCTAGATCTCGGTGCATAGGTAGGGAGACTGGATTGCATGGCTTCATCCTTACTTCCAAACATGGATCTGAATACTTAAAGGTGATAAGCTCTTTCTAAGGAAAACTTTTATCCTGTAAGAAGGTTTAGTGAAAACTTATTTTTTTAAAAAGCGTTATTATTAAAGTAATACAGAGGCACCTGGGTGGCTCAGTTGGTTAAGCATCTGATTGTTGATTTCGACTCAGATTCTGATCTCATGGGTTGTGGGATCAAGTCCCACATTGGACTCCACGCTTAGTGTGGAATCCGCTTGGGATTTTCTCTCTCCTCTTCCTCTGCCCCTTCCTCACCAGAGTGCACACACTTTCTCTCTTGCTCTCTCTCTCTCAAATAAATAAATAAATAAATCTTAAAAAATAAAGTAATACATGCCTCTAATTTAATTTAATTCTAATAGAATATTTAATGGAAAGATTTTAGAAAGACTTAAGATCTCTATTGAGGAACTGAACATTAACCAGAAAGCCTCCAGGGGTATTACATGGAAACAGTGTGTTACATGAGCACACTGTCCTCTTAACTGGACTATGTACATGTTTAGAGTTGTGCTATCTTATCTCAGTGGGATTCATAATGCTTCAGTGAAGAGTGAAGAAAATAAAATTTAAAAATACTAAAGGCATTTTCAAGGGGGAAAAGAAAAATGACTTTGTGAAAAATTCTAAGCCCATTTTATTTTACCTTTTAAGGAAGTGGTTTACTGAGATGCCCTTTGGTCCTTCAGAGCATTTAAACAGTTACAAACATGTTGTCATTGGTATCATAGTTTTAATTAAGATAACTGACCTAGAGTGAATAGCATGTGGTGTATCTCTAGAAGGTAATAGCTTACCAAGTTTCAGACTTGCAGCAGAGATCATTTCTCTTTACTTACTTTCTTTTCCTTAGATCAACTTCAGCAAAAATCCAAAGAAATTAGCCAATTTCTAAGCAGACCAATCTTGCAAAAACATGAAACAGCATCTCAGACTTCTCTCCCAGATACTGAGGATACACAGGTAATTAAGTGTATGCTTCTAATGAATATGATGTTTGTCTTTGCTGTATCATACTTGGGTGCTCTAATGGTCCAGAAAGTAATATAAGCTGTCTTTTATCCAGAAAATAATTTAAGTCTTTTCTGCCTGATAAGATGCTTTTTTGGAGTTGATTCCATTTGAAAGGAATGATGAAAAACATTAAGTTAGTGTCTCAACAATGATTAATGAGAAAATAATAGATAACAAGCACTATGCTTTCAGGAGCCTTTCTGATTCTAAGGTCTTACAATTCTGTATTGAAAATAAATCATTGTTTTTGATCTTGTAATCAGTTTTCTCAGCTGAGAAGTCAGTTTTGTTTTTGGTAGACTGAAATTTGATCAGCTTTAATGCACATAATTCAGTCTAACCAGACTTAAAAGTCTATTATAGAAATCATAATCCTCCCATTAATTAATTAACAGTAAAACTTTAATTACCAATTAGCTGTTGTTTGGCCAGTATATTCTCTTTGCCTTCTCTAAAAATCTCTATGGGAAGCTATATTATAATCACCAGAAGGCTGCTTATAAAGCATGATTATCAGAACAAGGAGAGTTAGTTTGATGATCTTAATTGGCTAGTGTCAAGCTGGGATAACTGGATTTATTCATCTCCATTACAAGATTATACCCTTCCAAACTGACATTATGACCAGCAGAGTTCCATGGTCCCTGGGCAGTACTGTGCACTGATAAAAATTTTTGCTTCCTGGTTTCTAGCATCTAGGCTTTCCAATCTCTTCTGTTCTCAAAATCACAACTTTTTTCTCCAATGTTTAAGAACATTTTTCAGTAATTGCAAAAAAATTGAAAGAATTTGTTACTGAACACCTATATACCTACTATCTAGATTCTGTCAACATTTTACTATATTTGCTTTCTCAAATATCCATTTATCCATCCACCAATTCATCTTAATTTTTTGTGTTTCACAGCAAGTTGTAGACATGAGTACCTTTTTCAGCATGCATATCACTGACTAAATTTTATATTTATTAATAGTTCTTTTTCTTTGAAGTAATAAATTTTACAGAACATGAAACGTATAAATATTAAGTGTACTGTTCATTGAGTTTTATCAAATGCATACACCTGTGTTACTCAAATCCCTGTCAAGATATATCATTATCACCCTACAAAGTATCCTCATATCCTTTCACAGCCAATCACATCCTAACCTTCTAGGGCTGACCAGTGTTTTGTTTTTTTCACCATAGATTAATTTTGCCTGTTTTACAACATCATGTAAATGTAATCATGTAATATATATGCTCTTTTGTGTAAAGCTTCTTACACTCAGCATGTTTTGAGTTTCATCCAGATTGTTTCTTATATCATAATATACTCTTTTATATTGCTGAGAAGTATTCCATTTTGTGAATATACTGCATTTTCCTTTTGCATTATTGTGCTGTAATTTCCTGTTGATGAATACCTGGGCTTTTTCATGTTTTGGCCATTATGAATTAAGCTGCTATAAACATACTTGTACAAGTATTTGTGTGGACATATGTTTTCATTTGTCCTCAGTAAATACTAGCTGAGGAATTGCTGGGCCATAGAGTATGTATTTAGCTTTATAAGAAACGGCCAGATCATTTCCCAAAGTCATATTATTTTATATTCCCACCTAAGATATATGAGAATTCTAATTGTTCTACATCTTTTCCAAGATTTGATACTGTCAGTTTAAAAAATTTTAGCCATTCTTATGGGTGCATAGTGGTATCTCATAGTTTTAATTTTCATTTCCCTGATGATAAATGATGTTTGACATTTTTTCTTGAGATTCTTGGCCATTTATATATATCTTCTTTTGATGAAGTGTCTTTTCAAGTCATTCCTCCACTTAAAAAATCAAGTTCTTTGTCCTTTTATTACCAAGTAGTAGGGATTCTTTATATATTCTGAATGTCAGTTTATTTTCAGATCTTTTTGGTGACTGTTTTCTCTCACACTGTAACTTCCCTCCTATTCATGTTCTTCATGATGTCTTTTAATTAGCAGACATTTTATAATTTTGATGAAATCTATCATTTATCAATTTTTTTATGGATATCATTTTCTGTCTCCTAACTATGAAACCTTTGCTTAATGCCAAGTCATGAAGAATTTTCTCTTGTGTCCTTCCACAAGCTTTATGGTTTTAACTTTCCCAGTTAAGTCTCTGAACCTCACATAAATTTTTGTGTGTGGTGTAAGGTAAGGGTCAAGGTTTATTTGGATTGTTGACAGTTTTTGGCTATTATAAATAAAGCTTCTGTGAATATTCTTTTACAAATATTTGTTTGGACCTATGCTCTCTTTACTCTCAGTAAATATCTCACAGTGGAATGCCTGGGTCATGTAGGTATTTGGGAGGTTTTAAGATACTGCCAGACTGTTTGCAAAGTGGTTTGTACCATTTTCCATTCCCACCATCAGTGTATGAGAGTTCCAGGGATAAGCCTCCCTTGGTAATGACACAGTATCCTTCTATTTTGTTGAATTACATTTGTTAAAATTTTGTTTTAAAGTTTTGCGTCTGTGTGCATGAGGAATGTTTGTTGTAGTTTTTTGTAATTTCTTTATCTGGTTTTGCAGTATGAGTAATGCTGGCCTTTTAGAATGAATTGGGAAGTATTCCTTCCTCTTCAGTTTTTTGGGGGAAGATTTTGTGTAGACTGGGTATTATATTTTCCTTAATGCTTTGTGGAAATACACCAGTGAAGCCATCTAGTCCTGGAGTTATCTTTGTGGGTGCATTTTTCTCTACTAATTCCATTTGTAGCTATATGGCTATTCAGGTTATCTATTTCTTTTTTACTGATCTTTGGGGTTTTATATCTTTTAGGGAGTTTGTCCATTTCATCTAAAGTGTCAAATTTATAGGACTAAAGCTGTTCACAATCGTCCCTAATTATCCCTTTTAATATCTGTAGAACCATAGTGATGTCAGCTTTCTTATTCCTGATACTTGTAATTTGTGTTTTCTCTCTTATACAGGTTAGACTGCCCAAAGGTTTACTAACTTTACTGATCTCAGAAAATCAGTTTTGGTTTCATTGATTCTCTTTTGTTTTCTGTTTTCTATTTTATTGATATCTACTTATTATTTCCTTTCTTTTGTTTATTTTGGATTTGATTTCCTCTTTTCTTAGCTTCTTAAGGTAGAGGCTGAGGCCACTGGTTTGAGAACTTTCGTATTTCTCACATAGGTGTTTTGTACTATAAATTTCTCCCTATAATCTGCTTTGGCATATCCCACAAATTCTGTTGTGTTTTCATTTTCACTTCAGAATATTAATTTCCTATTTGATTTCTTCTCTGCCTTGGGTTATTTAGTTTCCAGATTTTTGGGGATGATGTGCTCAGAGCTCTTTCTATTTCTGATTTTTATTTTAATTCTAGTATATGTGCTGCCGAAGCGAGCACTGTTTTTTATTTTAATTCTATTGTGGTCAGAACATACTTTGTATAATTTGAATCTTTTAGAATTGATTGAGACTTTTATGGCCCAGAATATTGTCTCTTTTGGCAAATGTTCCATGTGTACTTGAAAATAATGTATAGTTTGCTATTATTGACTGGAGTGTTCTATAAATGTCTATCATGTAAGGTTGGTAGATAGTATTATTCAAGTATACTATATCCTTGTTGCTTTTCTGCTTGTTCTCTCACTTATTGACTGGAGTATTAAGATCTCAGATTATAGTTGTGGATTTATCTATTTCTCCTTGTTCTGTCAGGTTTCACATCATGTATTTTCAAGCTGGGTTACTATGGGCTTAAACATTTAGGATTTTTAGGTCTTAATTAAGTGACCCATTTATCATTATGGAATGACCTTTATCCCTGGTGACATTTGTGACATTCTTTGCTTTGAAATGTCCTTTTGTTTGATATTAATATAGCTACTGGACTTTTTTTTTTTTTTAAGATTTTATTTGTTTAATTGAGAGCGAGAATGAGAGTGAAAGAGAGCAAGAAAGCACACAAGCAGGGCGAGGGGCAAAGGGAGAAGCTGACTGAGCCAACCAGGCACCTGGCTTTTCTTTATACTGGTGTCAAAAGATGTATCTTTTTTTCATTCTGTTACTTTAAACCTATTTGTATCTTTGTATTTAAAGTGCATTGCTTATATGCAGCACAGAATTTGAGCCTCCTTCTCATCCAGTATGTCAGTCTCTGCCTTGAAAACTGGAGTGTTCAGACCCATTTACATGATGTTATTGATATAATTTCAAAAGTCCTCTCCCCTTGCTATTTGTTTTCTATTTTACCAATTGTTTTATCTTTTTTTTTTTACTTTCTCTTCCTTTAAATAACTAGGTTGAGTACTTTTTATGATTTTGTTTTTCTCTTCTTATAGGTTATTAGTTATAATTCTTTGTTTTGTTATTCTAGTGGCCACATTATGGATTATAGTCTCTATCTTTATCATAGTTTACCTTCACATAGTATTATGCTGCTTCCTGTATAGAATAAGAACTTTATACTCACATACTTGCATTTCTTCACCTCTGGGATTTATGTTATTATTGTTTTACTGACCTACATATTATAAACAAAAAATACAAAAATATAACATATATAAACAAATTGTTATGTAAATGGTTATTTTATTCAATTATCTTTTAAAGACAGTCAAATAATAAAATATTTAACTATCACTGCAGTTACTATTTCTGGTACTTTTTATTCTTTAGAGTAGATCAGGGATTGGCAGTCTGTTTCTGAAAAGGGTCAAATAGTGAATATTTTAGGCTTGTGAGCCATATAGTCTTTTTTGCAGCTCTTCAACTGCCATTATAAAGCAAGAGCAGACATAGAACAAAGGCAGACAAATGGTTGTGACAGACTTCCAGTGAAACTTTACTTCCAAAAATAGGTAGAAGGCCTGAAAGTTGGTGAACTCTGGTGTAGTTTCATATTCCCATCTGGTATTGTTTTCTCTCTGCCTGAAGGACTTCCTTTAACTTGCGTGTGTGTGTGTGTGTGTGCATGTGTGTGCATGTGCATGATTGTGCAGGTCTGCTGGTGATTTCTTAAAGCTCTTATATGTCTGAAGACATCTTTATCTCTCCATTGTTGTCGAAAGATATTTTTGCTGACTACAGAATTCTACATTGATAGTTTTTTTTTCTTTCAGTGCTTCAAGGCTGTTACCCTACAGTCTTTTTTCTTGCATTTTTTTTTTTGACAAGAAATCTGCTATCATCATCCTTGCCTTTTTTTTTCTTTTCCTGGCTGCTTTTAGGGTTTTATAACTGGTTTTGAATACTTAGATTAGGCTGTACCTTAGTGTAGTTTTCTTTGTTTCTTGTGCTTGGAGTTGATGGAGCCTTTTGAATCTTTGTATTTATAGTTTTCATCAGTTTGGAAAATTTTCCACCATTAACTAGTCAAATAATGTTTTCTGATTCTCTCCCCTCCTTTGGGGAATCCATTCACACCTATATTAGATTACTTGAAGTTTTTCTAGAACCCACTGACGCTCTTTTAATGGTTTTGGGTTTTTTTTCTTTTGTTTGAGTTTCTATTTCATGTCTTCAAGTTCACTAATCTTTTCTTCCTTAATGTCCAATTTGTTGTTAATCCCATCTCATGTTTTATTTATCTGAAACATTGCAATTTTCTTTTCTAGAAGTTTGCTTGGGCTTTTAAAATATATATTCTATGGTTTTATTTGATCTTTTTGCATATACAGAATGCAGTTAAAACTTTTTTAATGCCCTTTTTATTTATGTATTTGTTTATTTATTTATTTATTTATTTATTTTAAGTAGGCTCTATTTTAAGTAGCCCAGTGCGGGGCTTGGACTCGCAACCCTCAGATCAAGACCAGAGCTGACATCAAGAGTCAGATGTTTAATTGACTGAGCCACCCAGGTGCCCCAGCCTTATCTTTTTTTAATTGAAATATAGTTGACACACAGTGTTACATTACTTTCAAGTGTACAACATAGTGATTCAACAATTCTGTATATTATGCAATGCTCACCATACAATGCTATTATAGAACCATTGACTATATTCCCTATGCTGTGCCTTTCATCCCTGTAACTTATTCATTCCATAACTGGGAAGCCAGTACCTCCCACTCCCCTTCACCCATTTTGCCCCCCCACCCCCTCTGGCAACTATCATTTTGTTCTCTGTATTTATGGGTCTGTTTCTGCTTTTTGTTTGTTTTTTAAATTCCGCCTAGAAGTGAAATCATATGGTATTTATCTTTCCTTGTCTGTAAAGTCCTTATCTTTTATTTCTAACATCTATGTCAGTCCTGGGTCAGTTTCAGTTGATTATTCTCTTCATTGTGGCTTATATTTTCCTGCTTCTGTGCATTCCTAATATTTGATTGGTTGCCAGACACTGTGGGTACTGGGTATATTTGTATTCACATAAATATTTTAATGGGATGCAGTTAAGTTACTTGAAAAAATTCGATCCTTTTGGGTCTTGCTTCTTTGATTTATTAGGCAGGTCTCCATCAGTACTCAGTCATTCCTTGCTACTGAGGCAAGACCTCACTGAGTATTCTACTCGATACCTTGTGAAGTCTTAAGTTTTCCACATTTGGCTGTGGGAGCAAGCACTCCTCCAGGCTCTGTGCAGCACCAAGTATTGTTTTCTAATCTCTTCAGATAGTTTTGGATAGTTCTGATAGCCTTGGATGACTTCCTCACATTCATGTCCTGCTCTGTACCCCACCAAATACTTGTTGTGGACCCTCTGCAGATCTCCAGGGTTTTTTCTGTATACAGCTCTCTCCTGTCTGGTGCTCTGTTTTGAACTTCACTTACCTTGATTTCCCTCCTCAACTCAAGGATTCCACTAGGCTCTGCTTAGGTTTTTCCCTTCTTGGGTCACAGCCTGGAAATTGGCTTAATGCATTAAGCTTGGTCAGGTGTAGGCTCACCTCATTCTTTCCCACCTCTTAGGGATCACTCCCCTTAGTTGCCTGATCCCTAGTATTTTGAAAATTATTGTTTCATTATTTTATCTTTTTTTTTTTTTGTGGTTGTTTCAGGTGGGAGGATAAGTCTGTTCCATTTTACTCTGGCAGAAACAAAAGTCCTCTATTGGATTTTTAGCTATATCTTTTTACAAAAATACTTTTAAGTGGTTGCTTTAGGAAGTATATACATCTTTAACTTTTCAGTCTTCTTAGAGTAATTACTTTAAACTTCACCTAAAATGTAGAGATCTTGTCATCATAAATCCTTTCCCTATTCTTTATGCTGTAGGTGCTGTATGTATTATATTAATGAAAGTTAGAAGTCCCATAACACAATTTTAACATTTATATTTTATTGGTTTTTTTTTTTAAAGATTTTATTTATTTATTTGACAGAGAGACACAGCGAGAGAAGTAACACAAGCAGGGGGAGTGGGAGGGGGAGAAGCAGGCTTCTCACAGAGCAGGAAGCCTGATGTGGGGCTCGACCCCAGGACTCCGGGATCAGGACCCGAGCTGAAGGCAGACACCCAACGACTGAGCCACCCAGGCACCCCTAACATTTATATTTTAAACAGTCATATGTATTTGAAAGAAATTAAGAGGAAAATGTTGACTTTTATACTTACCCATATGTTTACTATTTGTGATGCACTTTCCTATCTGATAATCAGATTTCCATCTGATACCATTTTCCTTCGACCTCTAGAATGTCCTGTGGTATCTTTGTAGTGCAGATCTATTGGTGAAAAAATTCTCTTAGTTTTCTCTTATCTAAAAATGTCTTTATTTCGCCTTTATTCCTCAATGATATTTTGTACTGGATATGTAATTCTGGATGGACAGAATTCAGGACTTTAAAGATTCTGTTTTACTATTTCCTGGACTACATTTTTCTCTCAACAACTGGTGAAATTATTCAAATGATTGTTCCCCTCCATGTAAAGTATTGTTTTTTTCTTGGATGATTTTAAGACTTTTCTCCTTATCTTTGTGACATACTTAGTTGTGGTTTTCTTTGTAATTTTCTCACCTAGATTTTGTTGAATTTCTTATATGTATAAACTTATGTTTGCAAAAATTTTTGTTATTATTTCTTCAAATAATTTTTTCCTTCCATTATGTCCTTGCTCTCCTGTGGTACTCCAATTACAAATATATTGAACCTTTTATTTTCTCACAAGTTCCTGAGGCTCTGTTCACTTTTTTTTTTTTCTTCAAACTTCAGATTGGATAATTTCTGTTGATTTCTCTTCAGGTTCACCAAGACTTTCTTCTTTCATCTAGATTTTACTATTAAGCTTACCCATTGAGTATTTCATTTCAGGAATTCTGTTTTTTAGTTCTAGAATTTCTGGGTAGTTCATTATTTTGCAGTTTCTTTGTACTACTAAGATTTCCTATCCTTTCTTTCCTCTCTTATGAGCATATTTTCCTCTATGTCCTGAGCATACTTATAATAGCTTCTTTAAAATTCTTTTTTTCTACTTCTAAAATCTGCATCATTTTGTGCTTGGTGTTTGTTGATTATGTTTTCTCTTGAGAATAGGTAACATTTCCATGTTTCTTTGTGTGATGAGTGATTTTGTATTGTAACCTGAATATTGTGAATGTTTTGTTCATAAGATTCTCTTCTTTTTAAAACTCTGAAGAGTTTTGATTACTTTTTAAAAGCCAGTAATTTGGATTCAGACCACAAACTCTGGCGTGTGATAGGCAGCATTCAAAACTCAAATTATTTTTGCCTTAGCTCTTCTGTTTTGAGTCAGCTCTGCAAATGCATAGTTCATTCTTCAGCCAGAGATTGGGCTAAGTTTATACATAGACTTTAGGGCTCCCTCTTGCTGAATTTTTCCTCCTTTCTTTGATTTTGCCTCTCATAGTCTGGCAGCTCTGGTTCTCCCAAAGTCTGTCTTCTCATTTTCCAAGTTCTCATTCTGTGGCTTTTCTATCAGTGTTTTACTTGCTCTTAGTGTAATGAAAACTGGGAACTTCCCTCAGGATAAAAGTCATAGAATCCTTAAACTCATCTCTTGCCATTTTTTTAAACATCAAATGAATATTTAGGACTGAGTGAGCTATACAGACCCTCAAGGCTCAAAAATTTTGCACTTTTATGAAGAATTGTATAAATTAATCCCCTTGGAGAAGAAAAACATATAAAATGACATACAATTAAGGATGTGTCATAATTAGTTGTATGCCTCACTAGGAAAACCAAACCAATAGGGATGCATAAATGAAGCACAAGATAATTTTTATTATCCTTGAAAAAAAACAAAACAGTTATGGCTCTTCTTCCTTTTTTAAAGGTTACATGTTAACTTTTGTTCCTGTCCTTCTTTGGGAGTCTCTCTTCATGTTTAGTCTCCTATATGAGAGTGACCTTAGTATCAAGTGGCATTAATCAAACTTTGTAATATTACTTATGGACCTGAAAATCTTTTTTCTTATGCAATACACTTGAGATTTTTGTCTTTGTAATCCAGGGTCCATTTTTAAATTTGAAAGCCAAAGAACTAGAAGTGTGTGTGAAAGATTTTTTATCTTCTGATAAAAAGCATTACTTTAAAGATGCAGATAAGTAGATGCCATTTTTAAAGTATTTTCATGCTAGAGAACTTGTAGAAGACAAAAATGCCAGAGCCTCCCTGGGCATTAGTGTGAAAGTTTTCACTGAGAATCATTAATTTGTTGTCTTTCTACAATTTAGGCAGTCACTGAGGAGAATATTGCCTTTTTGCAGAAGCAAGTGGTAGAACTAGAGAATGAAAAGAGAGCTTTGCTCCTTAGTTCTATAGAACTGGAAGAGCTGAAAGCTGAGAATGGTATGTATAAATGAAAACCATAATTCTCTCTTTTTAACCTACATGTGCCTCTACTTTTATCACTTACATATATAACATGTAGATTTTCTGATTCTATGACAATAAAGATCTTAGCACAGCTGGTAGTTATTAAAGATAGGATTAATACACAATAAATAATTAAAGCACTATACCAGTGTTTATGTAAGTATAACATTTTGCATTATGGGCTATAAATGCTGCAGGATGTCTGTATTATATTTATTTTGGAGTGGTCAAGGAATCTTTTCAGGAGCATGGCTTGAATAGGACCTTAATAAGATGACGAATTTTTAAATAGGCAAAATGAAGAAAGAAAGGACATTTCTGGTAATAAATTTGGGGGATGAGGTAACACAGATCAGTATAAATAAAAGTCCAAAAGTAGAAAACATTTTTGGGTTTTGCTCATGCTATATACTGCTTACAACCCTATCCCTTTAGCCAGGCTAATTCTTACTCATCTTTCAGGCCTCAACTAGGGTATTATCTTTTTCAGGAAGTTGACCCTGATCCCTGTCAGTTGGGTTAAATTTTTGTGCCTCTATAACGTTCTTACATTCCTTTAACATTGTGTTAAAATCATCTGTTTATGTTTATATTTTATTCTATAAGATCTTCAGAGATAAAGTATAAGCCTTTCAAGTGTAGGAACAATTTTTCTTTTTCATCTTTGCTTTACTTTTTGCCAAGAACTAGTACAGTTCCTGGCAAATAGTGGCTGCTAAATAAAGTTTTGTTGGATTGAACTAAAGTTAGCATTTTATTCTGGTAGACTGTATGAATAGTTAGTAAAAATAAATACTTCCTGCCATTTATCACTTACTTCACAAGAACCTTGATGGTTTTAGTAACATGTAGTTAATAGTGCATTAATGATCTATTTTATCCTTGATAAACTGGACTACTGTGCTTTATCTTCTAAGAGTGAGAATGAATTTGTACCATTTCTTAAACTCCAAAGACAGTTGGGAGTTTCCACCTTAAGCATTTTTCAGTTCTCCTTAGCTCTAAATACTGGAGATTATATATCTTTATTAGACCGTGCCCACCATTGCTGATACATAAAGAACACCACAAATTCAGCTCATTATTCAACCCACTTGAAGCATTTCTTTGAGACCTTATCCATGATGCTTATTTTGCAGTTTTGCAAACAATACCTATCACTGTCACGTAGCTTATTATAGTTTAGAGGTGTTACATGAGTTCTGTTCTCTTTGCTTTATCCTGCAGGGATCACTGGCCTTAAGATTTTCTGTATTAGTTTTTGTGTTTGGTCTCAGGTTACTTTTGCTTCATGTGTCATATTGTATTCAACTCACCTTTTGTACTTCCATTTCTACCCATGGTACCTCTTCCTCAAATAATCTTGTGAGGTATCTGAACACATTATATACTGTCTTGAATTTATTTGTTTCATGAATTGTCATTCATTCATTTAGCAGATTTCTGTGGTACCTATTCTATGTGCCAGGCAGTAGTGTAGTTCCTGCAGATACTGCCCTGAGCATATTAGAGGGGAAGATAGGCCATAAACAGGTATATAAATAAGAACATTTCAGAGAGTGATAAGTATTATGATAAAAATAAAAAGAAAGTGCAGGTGTGCCTGGGGGGAAGAGGAAAGCAGTATTAGAGTGGTCAGGGTAGGTCTCTCTGTTAACTTGAAACCTGAATGATGAAAAGGGGATGGCCATGCAAACAGGCTGAGCAAAGAGCATTCTAAGCAGAGAAAAAAAGCAGGGCAAATAACCATGAGGTCTGAATAAACTTGATATGTTTGCAGACAGAAGTAAGACCAGTATTTTGGGGAGTAGAGTGAACAAAAAAGGGTTAGTGCTGAAGAGGAGGTTGTAGAGTAAGTGGGGTCAACTCATGAGAGCCCATGTAGGTCACATTAAGACATCTAGATGTAGTGTACAAAATATGCTTTTTTCCCCTTTACTATATCTGTCTTAGCTTCTCAGAAAGAGTATAAACTTCTTGGGGGCATATTAATAATCAATATTTTTTATCTTTGAAGGTACTGCTACCCTTTTTATATATATGTGCATTAAAATAGAACATGGGGTAGAACTTGGAAGACTGGATTATGATCCCAGCTCTCTGAACTAGCTGTAGGTCATGTCATTCTTTGTTTCCTTAGATGGTCATTGAGGAGATTGCATAGCTCTGTTCTAGTGCAAAAACTTGCTGTCTTTATGAACATATGTGAAAGAACATTGAAGACAAGTGCTATATTAACGTAAAATGTATAAATATATTTTTAAGATTTATTTACTTTGGAGAGGTAGAGAGCATGCGTGAGCAGGGGGAGGGGCAGAAGAAGAGGGAGAGAGAATCCTCAAGGAGACTCCCTGCTGAGCACAGAGCCCAATGCAGGGCTCAATCGCAGGACCCTGAGATCATGACCTGAGCTGAAATCGAGAGTTGGCTGCTTAACCAATGGAGCCACCTAGGCACTCCTAATGTAAGATGTATATTATGAACACAGTAGGGTTATGGATAAACCAAGGCAAATTTATTACCCAAGGAGTCCCAAATAATGCCACAGAAATAGCTGCTACTTGTTACATGCTCTGGCGTCCTTCTTCTTTAAAGCCCTCCACTATTTATATATACTTCACTCAAATTAATTATTATCACCTACCACTTCTTTTTTTCTTGCACCATTCTGTCTTTTAGCTCATCTTCTCGTGCCACTTCTTTTTAATAATATAAATCTTTTATCTTCCCAAAACTATTTTATTTCTTTCCTCTTGATTATTTCATGCATCTCCAGTAGCCTCACAGTCATACCTCTGTTTTCTCAAACACTCTACATAGATCATCTAAGGATATTTATTTTGTGACTTTCAGAAAAACTATCTTCTCAGATTACTCTCTTGGAGGCTCAGAATAGAAGTGGAGAGGCAGATAGAGAAGTCAGTGAGGTAAGTGATAATGTTCTTAAAAATAACCAGAATGTGAACTAGATCAAGAGGAGTTAGCTTCAAACCTAAACATTTCTGCAGTTTTCTAATGTTGACTGAGCATTACATTACCTAGAAAGTGAGATCTATTTAAGAAAGTCATAATGGGTATTATTTCCCATTTAGTCTCATTCATTTCTGAATATTTGGAATTTTTAAATTTGTCCTGAACCAAATTGCAAGTACAGTAGCCATTTATTTGGGATTTGATAATCCATTTCTCATACTGGGTTACTATTTATCTCAAATTCTTTTCCCATCTCAGAAAAGTTTCTCAGTGAGATTAGGTAAAATCTCTAGTTCCCCTCCACTAAATTGGCCTAGGTTCATTTCAGATTATATTAAAAAGGGAATTTTTGAAGATTGGTGCTTTTTATAACCTGAAAATTACTATAAGAAATGTGTGGTTCTTTAATATTTTGTTGATTTAAGATTATTGTTAGCTGTATTGTGCTAAACTGGCTTTATTCTTCCAATCAAGAAGTCCATGATAGAGTCATAAATGGCCTTGAGGAATAATGTAACTTTAGTATCTGCTAAAAAAAAAAAAAAAAAGTATCTGCTTATTATATTAGAGTTCTTCAGAGAAACAAAATAGGGAGTGTGTATATATGTAGAGAGAGATTTATTTTAAGGGAATTGGTTCATGCAATTGTATAAGCTGGCAAAGCCAAAATCTGCAGGTTAGGTAGGCCAGCAGGCTGGAGACCCAGGGAAGAGTTACAGTCTGAAGGCAGCCTGCTGGCAGAATTCCCTCTATTTGGAGGTGGTCAGTCTTTTTTTTTTTTCTTGGTTAATGCCTTCAGCTGATTGGATGAGGCCCACTTATTTTATGGAGGGTAATCCACTCAAAGTGTACTGATTTAAATGTTAATCTCACCTAAAAAAATACCTTTACAGAAGCGTCTGGAATAATGTTTGACCAAGTATCTGGGTACTATGCCCTAGCCAACTTGACAATAAAATTAACCACTACACTTATATTCAGTATCTTTTGATGGGACTACTGATGCTCTGTTAACAAAATTGGCAAAAGGAAACTAAATTTTTGAAAGTTGTAGCATTATATGGATACTGGCAGAGTAAAAATGAATCTTGGGCAAGCAGGTGCTTAATGTTTTAAGATGCTTAGGAGTAGTGTCTAGTGAAAACAAGACAACTTAGATCAAAAAAGAGGAACAGATAAGAAAGATGGTAATCTCTAAAGAAAAAGAAAAACAATACCAGAAGGGAGAACAAATAAACAGAGAACAATGGAAAAGGGGAAAAACATACACACAGAAATTGCAAAAGGAATGGTACCTAAGATAATCCTTTGGGATAAGAGAAGGTGAGTAGAAAAGGTTCCTAGAATGTGTAAGCTCAACTGAAAGGGGAAGACTAGTATTATCAGAAAAAGTAATGAGAGTGGCTGGAAAAAGCAAAGTTCTCTGGTTCTCTGTTCTCTCATTGTGAATAACATTGATTTTTCACTTGAGCCAAAAAGTTGATTGAATTCTGTAGATATCGTAGGGAGCAACAGAGGATGTGACCAAGGGAAGGAGGAGAGTGAGTGAAGTGGCATGACAAAAAGAGGAAATTATACTTAAGGTGAGAGAGAGAACAAAAAGGGAATTATATTGAAGTCTTCTGGCAGAAGTGATACCTTGCTATATCAGGTCTTTAATGTATATAGGGATGGATAAAATAGGAATGTGACATGAAGAAATTATAAAGGAACTTTTTCTATGTGCTTAAATACTGTGTTCAGTTTTAGTCTCCAGAAATTTGAGTATGAATAATACAGAGAGCAAAGCATTTTAAGCGATTAAAAATAATGCTCATGAAAAATAATCTTTCTTAAAATCAATAATTTTAAAATGATGAATTTTTTTTCTTGTTCAGTGGCTGAGGATGTTCAACATAATAGCAAATACTGAATGCTTGCTGTGTGCCAGCTTTTGCTGGTAAATGGCAGAGCAAAGGTGTGAATTTAGGCAGTTGGGCTGCAGAGCTTATACTCTTGACCACTACATTATTTGACAGTCCTATGGGTTTTTCTTTCTTTTCTTTTTCTCCTGTCAAATTGGAATTTTTTCTGGGGAAAAAAAAATGGTGCTGTTGGCAAAGGTAGAGATTTTCTTATGTACACTGTCCCCAGACTCATTTAGTAAAATTCTAATGAAATTTATCAGGAGACCCATTGATTTTGTTTCCCAGGAAGACAATTATAGAAATAATGTATATGGGTTGAGCAGTCTAACAGAGTTATCTTTGTAATAATAGTATTTTGTCAAGCAAGTCTGTAATTTCATACCCAAGCCTCAGCAGAACTCCTTTTTGATTATGTGATCATGGTAATTTATCTTAACCTACTTGTTTGATAATCTACTTACCCGGTAATGGCTGTCTTATCTAATAGTTCCCATTTCAATGGAGAGTTTAGGAAAAGAATTATAACTTTCTTTTTTGGTATGGTATGAAACAAAATTTAATGCATCCCACCTCCCTTTTTATTTTTAAGTGGTTCTTAAGAGAACACTTAGGAATTTTAATCCAAAGAAAACAGTTTACCAAGTAAGGGATATCCAGAAAAGGAGTTCCGGGTTGCCATAGGTCTTATGAATGTGGCTTGACCTATACGATTGACAGGGTACCCTCAGAGGTCCAATTTGGAAAATAAAAACTGATTTTAAAAGTATTTAGCAGTTTTATGATAGGACGTTTGGACTAGTAAGTTGCAGGTTTTGAAAAATGCATGAAATATGAGTTTTTAGTAGGCTCTTTCTTATAAGACACCTGATTGAGGCTTTTCCTTTCTTTTCTTTCTTTTTTTTTTTTTTTAAATAGATCAGCATGGTTGATATTACAAGGCTCAATAGGAGCAGCTCTTCTGCCGAGGAGAGTGGACAAGATGTCCTAGACAACACATTTTTTCAGAAACATAAAGAACTGTCAGTTTTATTGTTGGAAATGAAAGAAGCTCAAGAAGAGATTGCATTTCTTAAGTTGCAGCTCCAGGGAAAAAAGGCTGAGGGGAACCCTGAGGTCCCTGACCAGAAAGAAATGAAGCAGACAGAGAGTGAAGGAATACCTACAGTTGGCATGAAAATAATGCCTGAAGATACAGGGCAACATTTTCCCTCGATGTCACATGAAGAGAGCAGTCTTCCAACAGTTGAAAAAGAAGAGCGGATGAGTACTAAACTTCAGAATAGAACATCTGAGGAAATATCTTTAAATGACACAGGGATGGAATTAAAATCAGTCGAGCAGGATGATATTGATAAACCCCCTTCTGCTGTACCAGGAATTTGTCAGTGTCACCAGGATGAATTGGAAAGGCTAAAAATGCAAATTTCAGAGCTTGAAATAAGCTTTCGTAAAGCAGAAGATATCTATGAGGAAAGTTTAGATGAGAAAGCTAAGGAAATCAGCAGCCTAACCCAGTTGATTGAAGAGTTTAGGAAAAATGCTGAAAACACCAACAGCGCATTCACTGCTTTGTCTGAAGAAAGAGACCAGCTTCTTTCTCAAGTGAAGGAACTTAGTGTGGTAACAGAACTGAGGGCTCAGGTACAAGAACTGGAAGTGAAACTTGCAGAAGAAGAAAGGCAAAGAAGACTTGACTATGAAAGTCAAACGACTCATCACAACTTGCTTACTGAACAGATCCACAGTCTTAGCATAGAAGCCAAATCTAAAGATGTGAAAATTGAAGTTTTACAGAATGAACTGGATGATATACAGCTTCAGTTTTCTGAGCAGAGTACACTGATAAAAAGCCTGCAAAGCCAGCTGCAGAAGAAGGAAAATGAAGTGCTTGAAGAGGCAGAACGTGTGAGGGATATCTCAAATAAGATGGAAGAACTTTCCCGGACTCTTTCACAGAAGGAACTTGAAATAGCAAAAATGGATCAACTCTTATTAGAGAAAAAAAGAGATGTGGAAACCCTCCAACAAACCATCCTGGAGAAGGATCAGCAAGTGACAGAAATCAGCTTTAGTATGACTGAGAAAATGGTCCAGCTTAATGAAGAGAAGTTTTCTCTTGGGATTGAAATTAAGACTCTTAAAGAACAGCTGAACTTATTATCCAGAGCTGAAGAGGCAAAAAAAGAGCAGGTGGAAGAAGATAAAGAAGTTGTTTCTGGCCTTAAACAGAATTATGATGAGCTGAACCCAGCAGGGCTCCTAAGTAAAGAAGAGCTTAAGCATGAATTAGACCTTGTGAAGAAAGAAAGTGAACAGAGAAAGAGAAAGCTCCAGGCAGCTCTTATTAACAGAAAGGAGCTTCTACAGAAAGTTAGTAGATTAGAAGAGGAATTGGCCAAAGTGAAAGATGAGTCTACGAAAGAGATCCCGCTCAATGAGTGTGAGAAGAGGGAAATGGAGGAAGATAAAGAGAGCAAAGAAGACTCAGAAAAATGTATGACTGCTAAGTGTCAAGAAATAGAAATTTCTTTAAAACAGACAATATCTGAGAAAGAGGTGGAATTAGAGCATATAAGGAAGGATTTAGAAGAAAAGGTAGCAGCTGAAGAACAGTTACAGGCTGTGATCAAAGAGATGAATCAGAACTTGCAAGAGAAGACAAACCAAATAGATTTGCTGCAAGCAGAAATCACTGAAAACCAAGGAGTTATCCAGAAATTAACCACAGGTAACAAGGATGTAGGGGATGGAGACTCAGCAATGTCTGTAAAAGAAACAGTGGCGATCAGTCCACCTAGAGCAGGTAGTGGAGAACACTGGAAACCAGAACTGGAAGAAAAGATATTGGACCTAGAAAAAGAAAAGGAGCAAGTTCAAAAGAAGTTACAGGAAGTGTTAACCTCTCGAAAGGCGATTCTACAGAAGGCACAGGAGAAAGAAAGACATCTTAGGGAGGAGCTAAAGCACCAGAAGAATGACTATAATCGCTTACAAGAACAGTTTGATGAGCAGAGCAAAGAAAATGAGAACATCAGAGACCAGCTAAGACAACTCCAGATTCAGGTAAAGGAGTCTATAGACAGAAAACTCCTGGGCATTGACCAGCAGGATCTAGGCTCTCCCACTCCAAGTTCAAAAGAGCCTTTATTCAAAACCACAGAGCAGCAACCTGCTCAACTTGTTTCAGAGTCTGACTTGCTTTCTCATCCTAAAGATGCAGATGCTCTGCAGGGCAATACTACTTTTGCCCAGATTAAGACCCAGCTGAAAGAGATAGAGGCCGAGAAAGAGGAGTTGGAATTGAAGGTTAGTTCTGCAACAAGTGAGCTTACTAAAAAATCAGAAGAGATATTTCAGTTACAAGAGCAGATAAATAAACAAGGTTTGGAAATCCAAAGTCTGAGGACAGCATCCCATGAAGCTGAAGCCCATGCAGAAAGCCTGAGGCAGAAACTGGAAAGCAGTCAGCTAGAAATTGCCAGATTAGAACATCTAAGAGAACTGCAGCCTGAACTAGATGAACTGCAAAAACTCATAGGCAAAAAGGAAGACGAAGTTAGATACCTTTCTGGACAGCTTAATGAGAAAGAAGAGGCCCTTATGAGAGTACAAACAGAGATAATGGAACAAGAGGATTTAATCAAGGCTCTGCATACACAGCTGGAAATGCAAGCCAAAGAACATGATGAGAAGATAAAGCAGTTACAGGTGGAACTTTGTGAAATGAAGCAAAAACCAGAAGAGACTGGAGAAGAAAGTAAAGCAAAGCAACAAATACAGAGGAAACTGCAAGCTGCCCTTATTTCCCGAAAAGAAGCACTAAAAGAAAACAAAGGTCTCCAAGAGGAATTGTCTTTGGCCAGAGATACCATTGAACATCTCACTAAGTCTCTGGCAGATGTGGAAAGCCAAGTTTCTACTCAAAATAAAGAAAAAGATATATTCTTAGGAAGGTTAGCTCTTCTTCAGGAAGAAAGAGACAAGCTCATTACAGAAATGGACAGATCTTTAATGGAAAATCAAAGTCTCAGTGGCTCTTGTGAAAGTCTGAAATTAGCTCTGGAGGATCTTACTAAAGACAAGGAAAATTTAGTGAAGGAAATTGAATCTTTGAAATGTTCTAAGATTGCAGAAAGCACCGAGTGGCAAGAGAAACACAAAGAGTTACAAAAAGAGTATGAAATACTTCTGCAGTCCTACGAGAATGTCAGTAATGAGGCAGAAAGGATTCAGCATGTCGTGGAAACTGTGAGACAGGAGAAACAAGAATTGTATGGCAAGTTAAGAAGCACAGAAGCAAACAAGAAAGAGGCAGAAAAGCAATTGCAGGAAGCTGAACAGGAAATGGAGGAAATGAAAGAAAAGATGAGAAAGTTTGCCAAATCTAAACAGCAGAAAATCCTAGAACTGGAAGAAGAGAATGACCGGCTTAGAGCAGAGGTACACTCTGGAGGAGGTACATCTAATGATGGTATGGAAGCACTTCTTTCTTCCAATTCCAGCTTGAAAGAGGAACTAGAAAGGGTCAAAACAGAATATAAAACCCTTTCTAAAGAGTTTGAGGCTTTAATGACTGAGAAGGACTCTCTAAGTGAAGAGGTTCAAGATTTAAAGCATCAGGTAGAAAGTAATGTGTCCAAACAAGCTAGCCTAGAGGCTTCTGAGAAACATGATAACCAAAGGGATATCATTGAAGGGGCAACGCATTCTGTCCCAGGTGAGTCTAATGAGCAAGATTCTCGGGGCATGAGCGCAAGGCCCGAAGATATGGAATCCATTCTGTCAGAGAACAGTGCCAAGAAGCCTGATGAAGGTGAGAATGTCAGCTCACATGATGAAATTAATAACTACCTTCAGCAGATTGATCAGCTCAAAGAAAGAATTGCTAAGTTAGAGGAAGAAAAGCAGAAAGAAAGGGAATTCAGCCAGACTTTAGAAAATGAGAGAAGTGCTTTACTGAGTCAAATATCAGCAAAGGATGGTGAACTAAAAATGCTTCAGGAAGAAATAACCAAAATAAACCTATCAAATCAGCAAATACAAGAAGAACTTGCCAGAGTTACCAAGCTAAAGGAGACAGCGGAAGAAGAGAAAGATGATTTGGAAGAGAGGCTTATGAATCAATTAGCAGAACTTAATGGAAGCATTGGAAATTACTATCAGGATGTTACAGATGCCCAAATAAAAAATGAGCTACTAGAATCTGAAATGCAGAACCTTAAAAAATGTGTGAGTGAATTGGAAGAAGAAAAGCAGCAGTTAGTTAAGGAGAAAACTAAGGTGGAGTCAGAAATACGAAAGGAATATTTGGAGAAAATGCAAGGTGCTCAGAAGGGACCTGGCAATAAAAGCCATGCAAAGGAACTCCAGGAGCTCTTAAAAGAAAAGCAGCAAGAAGTAAAGCAGCTGCAGAAGGACTGCATCAGGTATCAAGAGAAAATTAGTGCTCTGGAGAGAACTGTTAAGGCCCTAGAATTTGTTCAGACTGAGTCTCAAAAAGATTTGGAAATAACCAAAGAAAATCTGGCTCAAGCCACCGAACACCGCAAGAAGGCAGAAGCAGAATTGGCTAGCTTCAGAGTACTGCTAGATGACACTCAGAGTGAAGCAGCAAGGGTCCTAGCAGACAATCTCAAGTTGAAAAAGGAACTTCAGTCAAACAAAGAATCAGTTAAAAGCCAAATGAAACAAAAGGATGAAGATCTGGAGCGAAGACTGGAGCAAGTAGAAGAGAAACACCTGAAAGAGAAGAAGAACATGCAAGAGAAACTGGATGCTTTGCGTAGAGAAAAAGTCCACTTGGAAGAGACATTTGGAGAGATTCAGATTACTTTGAACAAGAAAGACAAGGAAGTTAAGCAACTTCAGGAAAACTTGGACAGTACTGTGGCCCAGCTTGCAGCTTTCACGAAGAGCATGTCTTCCCTCCAGGATGATCGAGACAGGGTGATAGATGAAGCCAAGAAATGGGAGAGGAAATTCAGTGATGCTATTCAAACCAAAGAAGAAGAAATTAGACTCAAAGAGGAGAACTGCAGTGTTCTAAAGGATCAACTTAGGCAGATGTCCATCCACATGGAAGAATTGAAGATCAGTATTTCCAGGTAAATGGGTAACCTTTTTGCTTTTCTAAAAGTAACTGAAGGCAAAGAAAGCCTCGAAACTATTTTTATTCCCTTTAATATTATGGGACTAATTTTGGCTTAAATTTCCCTAGAAACTACATTCTCTCTCACTTCTGACTCTTTTTTTTGTCAATGACTTTTGGCTAGTATTAGGTGAAAAATTCATGTCTGCTCCTCTTCCCTTCTCTCTGTTGAGAGATCGCTTTGATTTCTCCCTTTCTTTTCATTTTCATTTCCACTACCTTTGGATTTTTACTGTGGTACTCCCAAATGATTGCTTTAGCCTCATAAATGATCTCCTCTTTTCTCTTCCCTGTATTCCACATCAGTTCATACGCATGAGAGTCATTTTCCTCTAACTTCAATTTTATATCATTTTTCAAGTTCAAGAACTAATAGTGTCCCCCATACTGGGTACTCCTCCACTTTTAATAGGATTTTTCTGCTCTGAGACAGGTTCCCTCATTGTCTGTCATACCAAGATTATTCCTTTAAGGAGCTAGATGTGAGCTTGTCTGGAGCAAAGTAAAGCAAAATAGGAGAAAATAATGCTTTCTAGACTGTACAAAGTCATGTCACTAAAATAAGCAACATGGTTTTGGAGCTTTATGACTTTTATACCCTTAGGTGCACTATACCTTTAATACAGAGCATCCAGTAGAGCTAATATCTCTTCATGGAAAGGATGAGCACCTTTAATTATGAATACTGATTCATCTTTAGATCTGAGTAGTGTTGTCATATATGTTCCTTAGGCATCAGATAGTTTTTCCTGGAAATCTGTGATTAATGACCTTCTCTCTTTTTTTTTCCAGGCTTGAACATGACAAGCAGATTTGGGAGTCCAAGGCCCAGACAGAGGTTCAGCTTCAACAGAAGGTCTGTGATACTCTGCAGGGGGAAAACAAAGAACTTTTGTCCCAGCTAGAAGAGATTCGACAACTATACCACAGTTCTCAGAATGAATTAGCTAAGTTGGAATCAGAACTTAAGATTCTCAGAGACCAGTCGACTGATTTAAATAACTCTTTAGAAAAATGTAAGGAAAATAAAGAAAACTTGGAAGGAATCATAAAGCGGCAAGAGGCTGATATCCAGAATTGTAAGTTCAGTTATGAACAGCTAGAGACAGATCTTCAGGCCTCCAGACAACTGACCAGCAGGCTGCATGAAGAAATAAACATGAAAGAGCAGAAGATTATAAGCCTGCTTTCTGCCAAGGAACAGGCAGTCCAAGTAGCTGTTGCTGAACTGCATCAGCAACATAATAAAGAAATTAAAGAATTGGAAAACCTGTTGTCCCAGGAGGAAGAGGAGAATATTGTCTTAGAAGAGGAGAACAAAAAGGCTGTTGACAAAACCAAACAGCTTATGGAGACACTGAAAGCCATCAAAAAGGAAAACTTGCAGCAGAAGGCTCAGTTGAATTCCTTTGTTAAATCCATGTCTTCTCTCCAGGATGACCGAGACCGCATCGTCAGCGACTACCAACAGCTGGAAGAGCGACATCTCTCTGTCATCCTGGAAAAAGATCAACTCATCCAGGATGCTGCTGCTGAGAATAACAAGCTTAAAGAAGAAATTCGATGCTTGCGAAGTCATATGGATGATCTCAATTCTGAGAATGCCAAACTAGATGCAGAACTAATCCAATATAGAGAAGACCTGAACCAAGTGATATCAAGAAAGGACTGCCAGCAAAAGCAACTCCTTGATGCTCAACTTCAGCAGAATAAGGAGCTGAAAAGTGAATGTGCCAAATTGGAAGAAAAGCTGAAGGAGTCTGAGGATGGAAAGGAGGATCTGCGGAGGTCCTCTCTTGCTCTAGAGGAGGAGAAACAAGGTTTGTGTAAAGAGACTGAGAGCTTAAAGATGTCTGTATCCCAACTAAAGAGACAGTTGACAGCCTTGCAAGAAGAAGGAACTTTGGGAATATTTCAGGCCCAATTAAAAGTAAAAGAAGAAGAAGTACAGAAGTTAAGTACTACCCTTTCCTCCTCTCAGAAGAGAATTACAGAACTGGAAGAGGAGTTGGTTTGTGTTCAGAAGGAGGCTGCCAAGAAGGTGGGTGAAATTGAAGATAAACTGAAGAAAGAATTGAAGCATCTTCATCATGATGCAGGGATAATGCGAAACGAAACAGAAACCGCAGAAGAGAGAGTGGCAGAGCTGGCGAGAGATCTGGTGGACATGGAACAGAAATTACTTTCGGTCACCAAAGAAAATAAAGATCTCACAGCACAAATCCAGTCTTTTGGAAGGTCTATGAATTCCCTACAAAATAGCAGAGATCATGCCAATGAGGAGCTTGATGAACTGAAAAGGAAATACAGTGCCAGTCTGAAGGAGCTGGAACAGCTGAGAGAACAGGGCCTCGTAAGCAGGGGGAGAGATGCTCTTGTTTCTAAAGTTGCCCTTTCAGGGAACTCCACTGAGGATAACAGCTTGCCTCACCTCGAGAAACTTAACCAACAGCTTCTGTCCAAAGATGAGCAACTGCTTCACTTGTCCTCACAACTAGAAGATTCTTACAACCAAGTGCAGTCCTTTTCCAAGGCTATGGCCAGTCTACAGAATGAGAGAGATCACCTGTTGAATGAACTGGAGAAATTCCACAAGTTGGAGGAGGGGAAGCAGAGGTCTGCAGTCCAGCCTGCAGCCCAGCCTGCAACCAGCCCAGCTGAAGTCCAGAGTTTAAAGAAAGCTATGTCATCACTCCAAAATGACAGAGACCGACTAGTGAGTGTCTGCTTCTCTTTCTGATCTTTCTGATCTTCTTTTGAGAGTTTTTGAGACTTTCTTTAAAAATGTTCATTTCTATAGAAAAGGATGAGCACATTCTTACACATATTCTGGGCACTCTGGGGCAGTATTATACATCCCACAGGTTCTGTTTGGTCTTAGAGAAACACACAAACATTATTTAAATTACTTTAAATCAGCCATTACCATTTAAAGACAATTACAGATTTTCTTTGCACAAAACTCTCCATTGGTTATAAAAGGACTAAGAGATGGAGGTTGTTTTATATATTTTATACACACATGTAAATAGTTCCAGAATTTGTCATAGTTTAATTGAACGAAGGTGTAGGGGTCATTCGGGGCCTTCTCAGGTTATCTGGTAGAATTAAGGGTAGAGAGGACTCAGCTTATCTCATGTATATATCTCAACCCTAATTTGTCACCAAAAAAGTTAAATGGGTTAAAAAGGTTAATTTTAAAGTTTAATACCCAAGTTTTTTTCAATCTGAGAGAAAGATAAGGAGGATCTCTCATGCTAAAATTTTGCTTTTAGTAGGATCCAGTAGTTTAATCCAGGTTGTTTTTCCTAAGAACTTCCAGCTTATCAAGATTCAGAAGCAAAAACTGGAACTATGAGCCAAGCCAGGTTCTACTTTGTGAGGTTACTGTCTTCACTTCCATGACAGTTCTTAACTCTTTCAAGGCCATGTACTTAGGCCAAATAGGAAATAAATTGAGCTTCAAAAGGCTGGATTTTCCATTAAAAAGTGACCCATGTCCAGAATATGAAAATTCTAGTTTTTAAGATTAGCCTGAATAAAAAGATCATTGCCCCAATTACAAATTCTTGTTCTAATTTTTCTTTTTCTTTGTAGGCAATTTGTTCATATTACACTTAATATCCAGTATTTATAGATAACTTTTTCACTTTTGTAATCTGAACAAAACCCCTCTTTTCAGCTGTGGTTTTGACAACAATATAATGTACACATATTTCTTTATATCTTAAAAATAGTTTCAGTTCAACTGACTTTGTCCTAGGAGCTAAACCTTTTTTTGTTGCTTTCAGAATGCAGATGCAAAAGGTTTTCATCAGAACAGTATATACCCCAAAGTTGTAGTGTATAGCATCTAGGACTTGATTATCTTCAAAGTCAAAATCTTTTTCCTGGAAGCTATTAGGTTAGATTTTGAATACACAAGGTTTCATTTAGTGAATTGCTTTACTCCTCTTATCTGTTCTAAACACTGGGGACAAAACTTGCTATCTCTCAGCCCTTTCTATCTCTCAATCCCCATTCCACATTTTTGTCTGCTGGATATGCCAAGTCAGCATGTTTTTACTTCTATATTTCTATAACCCATAGTAATGTTCCTCTGTTCCCTAAGGCTCATAACTGTCTATGATTTTATTTCATTTATCATCAAGGTCTGTCACTTTATCCACAATGGGCCTCAATTATCTCTTTTCCTTTCCATCATCATCATCTTAGGATAAGTTCTTAACAATGTACCCTTAACTGTTGTGATACTGCTTCTCCCAGTTTGTCACTTTCCAGTATATTTTATATACCATTGCTGAATAAGTCTGAAGCTCTGCTTTCTTATTACTGTACTGCTCAAAAACCTTTAACAGTTGTATTATCTCTAGAATAGGCTTAGGATTCAAACCTCTTAGTCTGGCATTTGAGACCCAAAATTTGTCTAGGTCCTTCTTTCCAGTCTTCCTTGTTACTGCTCCCCTACTCATACTCTTCATTGCAGCCAAACTGATCTACTCATTATGCAATAATCTTACCTAGTACTTCCATATTACCATCTCTGAACCAAAATGTCCTCTCAATTTTCCTTTTTTGAGCAAGTATTTCCCGCTATTAAACATCACCCTGGAGCTCAAATTCTCTGGTTACATTTCCAGATCACTTAATCACTATTACTTTCTGTACTTCTCTAGTACTTTCATTTGTCCCATATCGTCTTGATGTGTATGTGTATATATGTCTATGTGTGTGTCATGACTTATCCTTGTTTGTATTTCCTATGATTTTAACATAGGAGTGATTAATTATATGGTAGATAATCAACAATTGGTGGCCGTTCTTTATTTTTGTGGTTGTTACTGAAAACACTTCTTTTTTCCATTTGTGAAACTGTCATGTAGGGGAGTTCTGGAAACATTTGCTTTTACATCTGCCATAAATGAAAGCCAAGGCAGGGTTATAAATCACAGGAAGGCCTGACAGTTTGACTTGGTAATACTACATATGAGGTTCATTGCAGTCTGCTGAAGCCCTTCTGCATACTTTGGAATGTTTGTTAACTGTCCATCAGCTCTTTTCCACATACTTGTTCTTAGTCTGTGTCATGGGTATTGAAGTTTATAGTCTCTCAGTCACTGGCTGCATGTATGATAAGTATGGGAGCTATCTTATGTCAACCACTATCAGTTTAAACATTCAGCTTAGGCCAGCAGTTTATCACCTCTGCCTACACTATACTTCCTTTCCCTCAGGACCACCCCCAGAAATGATTTAGGTCTGAAAGGGATTTAGCTTACTTTGGTTCTCTTCTTTACTTAGTTATTCAAGGGTAAGTTTCTCAAAGTTTGAGGGTCCAAGTGGCAGAGAATAAGCCCTGGGGATTCTCCTACAGTGTCACAACTCTGAAAACATTCTGGAGTTTTCATACCTATTTGAACTTCCTTAGGACTTTCCCATAATCAAATAGGTACTTAGGCAATTTCTACCTAAAGGGTAGAAAGCAAATCTCCAGAGCTGTATGTATTTATCTATACTTATTTTGTTCTTTTTAAAAAAAAATTTTTGTTTTTAAATTCCAGGATAATTAATATACAGTGTGACATTAGTTTCAGGTATACAATATAGTGATTCAGCAATTCTGTCCATTACTCAGTGCTCATCAAGATAAGTGTACTCTTAATCTCCTTCACCTGTTTCACCCATTCCCCATCTACCTCCCCTCTGGTAACCATCAGCTTATTCTCTGTATTTAAGAGTCTGCATTTTTGCCTTTTTTTTTCTTCGACTATTTGTTTTGTTTCTTAAGTTCCACATATGAGTAAAATCATGT